TTGAATCAAAGAGAGGAACTAGAGAGAATGTGAAGAAGGTTGGACAAGTGTATAGACAAGATATTTTGGTCGTTGGTTTGCTTTTGGGAGAAGGCAGTAAATTCTCCAGGCCATGCATCGTGACAATCGTTACTTGAAGTTGAATTCTCAAATCTTGGTTATCAACTCGAACCTTGCCTCAATCTTCGACACTTTGTGATCGCAAAGACGTTAATCGCTGTGTTGATTCTACTTTCTAATATGTCCCTCGCGCGGAGAAATCTGATGATAATCTCAGATACTGTTCCTGTATTCGCTGGCGCAGCTTGATAAGAGACGGCCTTCTTTTCCTGTTGTTGTAAATGAACCCGAAGCGAGACTCCCATTTTGCATGATCATGATGGTCAACGTTTAAATAGTTTGCTGGAAGTTGACAACCTCTCCACTCAAGTGGTAAAGACACTTCTCGCTGGATTCGTGCTGCAAAGCGGAAGAACGCCCTTCTCGCTTCTCGCCCCAAATTGCTCGTCTTGATGACTGTCTTCCATATCCAGAGCTCTCTACGGGACATTTACCTTGGCGTTGGACGACAGATGAGAGAGAGCGCTGGTTTGTAGAACTGTTAGTGACTTGTCGTGGCACAAAATGAGCCTCACATGATGCGTGACATTGACGTTGAACACAGCTCTGGCCATTGCTGCACGGAGCATATTCTCACCGTACTGCTCCTTGGCTCCCGTACAGAGCGCCGCTCACACTTGTACGCGTTCTGACGCAATGAATCATGAATAGAACTTGTCATCATGACCATGGGGGGCGTTCACTCTTTATCCAATTCCACTCTCCTAATGTATGGTTTTCGGGACCGTCTTTCATATCCTCTACTCTGATGGATGGTCAAGTGTCTTCTCGCTGCCTTGTTCCGCGTCATAGTCCGAAGGCTTTTCTCTTGTGAGTGTCGTGAGCTGCTCGTTTTGTTCTCGTATGAATGGCCGCATCTTGAGGTGGTCCTGTGCATAAGAGACCCGGTCTGTCTGTTGAATTTTGGCTTTTTCTGCATAATTTGACTTTGAGGAAGCCAGAAATTCTCCCTGAAATATATCTCATCGAGGCGAGCTCTATGCTGTGGCAAAGAATCGTGGTGTAGATGTCTGGCCCACGGGCTCCATGTCGTGACACCGGTGATTGTGCATATGTTACAAGTGCAGGCTTTTAAATGCCACTATAGAATACATCAACGGAGACTCATACAAGCGTGTTGATCCATTATGACGGCCAACACGTTCGATCTTCACACCGCTAATGATCATAAGATGTACGTCAGCCTTGCCTGGCGAAATGCTATATGCCTTCAGCTGCGAGCTGAAGTCTGAAGTGCTCTTGCAGACTCTTCGAGCTCTAGCCTGTATCAATATCGATGTCTACTGATGTTCCGAACAGGATGAGCCGCTTCATATGTTCTTGCTAGGGTACCTCTGCCGTACCAGATGACTACTCACCATGACGGCTCATCCACGCGCAGTCTATTCACCCGCTCTTGAATTCTTCTCCAAACCGACTTTACACGTGAGGCTGATTCCTTCATCTTCGATGGTGATACCTTATCGATGGAGCAGCAAGCGGAAGAGCCTCATCCTCGCCAGATATGCGAGCTATGAGATCGAACCACGGCGTGTACAATCGCTCCTGTTTTGGCTCGAGTGCGTGGATCAATTTATGTTTTGAACACTACAGCCACTTATTACCTCAACTGGACACCCTCGCTCACCGTATACGAGGTCTAGTACTTCAGCGTGCCGAATACGCACAAGTCCTCTTCCATTTTGGGTCGGAATTTTCGAATAATCGCAGATGGGGGGAAGCAAATGCCTGGGTATTTCGCGTACAGTCATAAACAAGAAGCGTTCCTGTAGTGCCCGTGACGTTCCGCATGAGTTCAGAGTGGGGCCTGAATCTCGACTGAATATGTGTTCATGGCACCACCTGCAAAAGTCCAGTGCGGTTCTATTTATTTGATGAGGTATACGGAGTACTAAATGGTCCCGTGATAACTCAACGTACAAGACATCATGACGCCTAGATATCAAAGGAAAGACCATCGTCACTATCTCCCAATGATCGGAGATACCCGTTGAGAGTTCGAGGAGGTCAAAAAGACGAATAAACAGTCATTCACGTACTTCTCTCTTTGGCATAACAGATGAGTTGTATCCGCAATGTCATGTACTAGGTAGAGTTCGTCTTGCCATCTCATTTAGTCAGACTCCACGTACATTCCAGATGTATCGAAAGGCCTTCTCAATCAAGTTTGGCTGCGCTCCCCAGGAAGAGCAGTCGTCAAAATCACCATCAGGACGGGTAGATTACCAGTTCATAGGAACCTTAAGAGGATCATCTATCCTGCCCCGTTCCTTCAGTTACCAGCGTATGTAATATGGAAATGACAGACTCGCGAACGAAGCATTGCCATGAGTACACATACCTCCATCTCTAGCATTGTTTCAGTAACATCACGTGTTTTAGGTTTTCGAAAGACTCAAGATAAAGGAAATGACACTCGAGGCCTTACGCCATGGGCGTGGATGATCTAATTTAGCGTCACCAAAGGCCTCCTTTCGTGAGCCACGCCTGCGTTCAAGCTATTCGTACGATATACTCCTCGTAGACCACCGCCCGTCATCCAGACATCATCTAGAACCTCTACTCCCATATCCTACAACACTTCAACCTCAATCCTCACCCATCCCACCTCTCACGTCTCCCCAAAAACAAAAACCCCCTTCCCCTTCCTAAACCCCCCAAGCGCCCCCTGAACAGCACTCTTCAAAAACCCCTCCTCAGTACCCCATTCCCACCCAACCTCCTCAACCGGCACATCCCTAAACCTCCCCTCCCTAATCATCCCCAACACGTCCTCAATCGCAAACTTCCTCCCCGTCGGATCCCTCTCATTCCACTTACTCAGCCAGAACCCGACAAACCTGATATCCTTGAAGATCAACAGCCCCGTAGGCAACATGACCGGCTGCCTCGCCATCCCACCATACGAAACCATCGTCCCGCTCTCCCCCAAACTCCTCGCCACCGCCGTCGCAGACTTCCCGCCCACGCAGTTCAGTCCCAGACCGACCTGCTCCCTCCCGCCGCGCGTCAGCTCCGCAAGCCGATCTCGCCACTCCCTCGACAGGAACTCCTTTTCCGTGACCACGACGGTGGCGCCCAACCCCGTCAACTCGTCCTTGAGCGCCTCCGTCTCGGCAGCAGTCTCCCTCTCCCGGACGACATTGATACTCCGCAACCCCCACAGCTTCCCCAACTGCACCGCCGCCCTTCCAACACCGCTATTCGCCCCATTCTGAATAAACCACCCGCCACTCCCGGGATCAAGAGCCTTCATCCCACCATCACTCCCCTTCCGTATCTCCCCGGGCCCATACGTTCTCAAAATCCGATACGCCGTGCACGGATTCACGCTCACGGTAGCAACCTGCGTAGGCGTCAACCCCTCCCTGCTAACCTTCATCACATCTTTCGCCTCAGCAACAGCATGCGTGCGCCACGTCCCAAACGAGCTGGCGTTGGGGATAACCCAATCCCCCTTGCTCAACCCCGAATCCTTGGACCCCACCGACACGACCTCGAACACGCCCTCGTTTCCGGGGATCGCAGAGGGCTCGGGCGTGCCGATGAGTTGCGCAAAGGGGGGTTTGGCGCCGTATGTGCCCTGGACGGTGTTGATGTCGGCCGGGTTGATGGGGGCCGCGAGGGCGCGGAGGAGGACGGCGGAGGAGGGGATCGAGGGCGAGATGGAGTGTGTGTGTAGTCTGCGTTTGAAGAAAGCGTCAGTCTTTGTGTGTCTATTCGTTTCGAATGGAGGGTTAGCAGGCTGTCTACGTACTGCAAAACGTCGCTGGGCTCGCCCTCCTTGGAGAACACGAGCGCCTTGGCCTGTGTATACCCGTACGGACCGGACTTGTATCGTCGCGCAACACGGGGGAGGTACTGCGCCGCCTGTCGGCCCGCAGCCGGTCGCAGCGCCGAGGTCAGCGGCCGAAGCGCCGTCGTCGCGGCGTTTGTGCGCAAGCTTGCCGCCATTGTTTGTATGATTGTGTGTCAGTCGTGAACAGTAAATCGACAATTGGCACAATGACGCAAGAGTGGTGGTTGTGGGAAGTGGACAAAAAAAAAACAAACCGTAGCTCCAAAGCTGCAGGTCCCGGCTCTGGCTCGGCAAACGGGCGACCTGGAGCTCCAATCTCACAATGACGTCCCCTCCCACTACGGGCCGACGAATCAGCCCACTAGCGCCGTCCCCTGGAAAAGTGCACGCCGCACGGGAAGGGGAGGGAGTGGTGGGTGGTGGTGTGGTCCCGCCGTTTCCGCGATTGGCTCGAGCTTTCCCACCATCACCACCCGCAGCTCCGGCCAAAAAGGGGACGGACGCCGTTCCAAGGCACCGAAACATGAAGCGGCGGCTCCGGATATTCAACGGACTCACGGGGGAGTACGGGAGGAGTCTGTCCGGCACGAAAGAACGCCTGGCAGACGCGCTATTCCGCACAGGTACAAGCGAGTTTCGAGTGGACGGTCGAGAATGCATGGTGACATGTTCTAGCGATCTGCTTTGCTGCAGCATCTTTCTCCAGCAGAAAAAAACTAGCCATGGCCTTGCTAGGCTCTTCTGCGCGCTAAAACAACCTGCAGATGCAAGCCTCTCGCCACATGATGTGTTCAAGGGGCCATAGCGTCAGGTCCGGATGACGCGGGGGTCCATCTGCCATCATTTTCCTTTCTCACCAAAGTTCGGCTCGTTGTCTAAGTCTTTAGGAGTCGACGGATATCCTCACCTGAAAAAAACCATCCCGGCCACCTTGATGAATCAAAAGTCAACATGTCGAAAATCAGACGGTCGTAAAATGTAGTCTCTATTACTTGCTGCTGTTGCCACATAAGCACCAGCGGCATCAGGATGCATGCACTTGGCCAACTGCTCCGTGATATGGCGTTTCCAGCCATCGTGGCTAAGCCCAAAGCATCTTTGCCAATTGATAGTTGCGTCCTTCCTTTTGCCATGTAAAGGCTGACGCGAGCCCGAGTTGTTCCTCGTTCCTTCATCGGTCGTCAGCCTCGCCACCGCTTCTCAACCCCCACAAGCTTCTCCATCAAACCCGTAAACACAAACATGTACATTAGAAGGTAAGTCGTAGAGTAGGAAAGGGTTTGACCAACAAGCCCGCAAGGAAAAGAGATTCGGGGCCCATGGTGCCCGTTTTTTCCAGACAGCGCAATGAGATGAAGAGAAACACACAAAACAAAGAAAGTGTAAACATCGTATGTCAGAATGAGCCCGCGGCGCGAGCTGGGTATCTTGCATAACTTCTTCCAATCTTGCCTCCGCTCCTTTCCACATCTGCTTCGTCCCATCTCCGCCTCTTCGTCCCCAGCTCTGGCTCGAAATGAAGTTCAACTTAAGAAACGCTAGGAAATCGTATGGGTGCATCCGTTCGGATTCGGTCGTTCGCTCGTCGGCGCATATGAGGTGGTTTTCTTTTTTCTTTTTTCTTTCGCATTCGACAAAGAAGCCGGTTCCCGACTCCAAAAACCGGCAGCTCTGTAGATATCAGTCATGACTAGTGTCGGGGATTGTCCGCATCCAGTCAGTAATTATTTAATGTTCTTGAACAAGTCGTCTCCGAGACTGCCCCCGTCCCCTACATCCAGCCTGGCTTGGAGGGCGCTTAGCTCGGGGATCATGGGTGGCGGAGGCCCTTGGACCTGAGGTGCCTGCGCCTGTGCCTGAGGGATCTGAGGCTTGCTCTGCGTTTGGCTGCTCGTCTCGCTGACGTTGGGGTGCTCGTAGACGACACTGGATCGTTTTTGTGGCGGGGAGGATTCGCTGGTTCTCAGCCTCTTGAACCAGCCGCTGCTTCGCTTCGATTTCTTCTCGTCGATGATGCTGCCTTGACTACGGCTCATGGGACGGTTGTGGGCGGACTGGGTTTCGCCTTCTGCATATGCTTGGTTCAGTAATGTCCGGCTGAAGAGACGACGGATGCTGCCTTGTCTGCTTGACGCTGCTGGAGAGAGTGGTGTGTCATCCGAGAATCCTTTCGTACCATTGGTGGTGGCAGGCGAGCCTGGAACTGCTGCTGCATGACCATTTGTCTTGTTCTCGACCTTTTCCTTGACGGCGGAACCGGAGTCCTTGGTTTCGCTCACACGCGGGGTCTGGGGAGGCGTGGGGACCTCCTGGACGGGGCTAGGGAGCGGCGGGGGGATGTTGGTTCCCTCGGTCAAGGAGCCGAACTTGAACTCAAGCTTGGGGAGCTCGAATCGTTTCGAACCGGTGGAAGGCATGGTGGGCGGTGATGCGGATTAGATAGAGGGTTTGTGTCATCAATTGACTTTGTTGATGCAAAGGCGAGGTTGGGCCAGGATGGGTCCGTTTGAAAGGCGAGGTTTGCAAATGGCAATTGCAGGATCCGCCAGCAGCCAGCTCGACAAACGAACGCGTGACAGGCAGTGAGTGCGGTTCGCCCCGTGGCGTGTGTCGTTGGACGGAGCAGCAGGGGGAGTCGAATCGGACCCAGTGCGAATGCGGGTTGTGGTCTGGTGGGACAGCGTGGATGTGGTGGACGAGGAGCGAGCGAGTGCGACGCAAGGGAGTCTGGGATTCGGGGAGCGGTAGGGAGGGATCCGCTGATGTGGTGGATTTTGTATGGAAAACGGAGCCGAGTTGTGAAGGGTCTTGAGAGCTTGAGAGTGAATGAATGTCGAGGTTGGTGACAAGACGGGCAGCATGCAGGGTATGCTTCAGAGCGAGATTGGGTATTCGTCTTGTGCGGTGGCGCACGAAGGAGCAGGCGGAATGGTGGACAGGCGATGCAGTGTACCAGGTACTCGTATAAATGCAGGGTACGCAGTAGGGAGTACGAAGCAGGTAAGGTAGTGGTCGTGTACGAAGTAGTGCAGCAGGTTCGGGCTATGTATTGCCGCCGTGCTGGGATTCGAATTGGGTCTCTAGGTATCCGTACCAAGAGGTCGAAAGCGGTCGTATTGAGCCACGATGGTGTTTGAGTTGTTGGCCTTGAATCGTAGCCATAGGCTGAGCAGTCGTAAGGCGAAGACTGAAGTGTCCTAGGCAAATAGACAGACACGGCACAAACAGCGCTGGTGGCTCTACTTGAAGTCGAATCGAGTTGGGCTCCAAAGGACGTGGAGCTGCAGCGGCCAGAGACGAAACGACACGAGACGGCGATTGAGAAAGAAAGTAGGCCCAAGAGAGGAAGAGAGGCCCGGGGACGGTGGAGTAGAAGAATGGAACGGCAGGTCGGGGGTCAAATGGGAATTGGACTGGACGATTGGGGCATGGTTTGGGAGAGCGCCCTTGGACCTTGGACCTTGGTTCCTTTGCTTGCCGGTGCTTCTTCTGCTTGGTGCTTGGTGCTGGCGTGGGCGTTGGATGGCGGGATTGTGCAATGGGATTGGACTGTTCTGGTTCAACTGGGCTGGATTGGATTTGAGATGTCCTGCAGGGGTCCAGCACTTTGCGTGTTTGTCACCTCAGTATGAGAGACTGTGAGTTGACCAGGACCGCCAGGTCGTTCCCCGACGGGTGGGATGGCGTCGCACTCACCCTGGGGTCCCTAGAGGTGTCCGGGTACGCAAGTGTGGTGTCTGACAAGGATGCGCCTGCCAACTTGGTTTCTTCGTCTTTTCTTCCGCTGTTCCTTTTTCTTTTCTTTTCTTTCCCTCCCGTCTCTCCCTAGGTAGGTCTCCAGTGACCAAAGTCGGCACGAAGCAGAGTGACAGAATACTTACACGCATCTCGGATCCCCTTTGCTTTTCTTCTTCTGCTCCCTTGGAGTTTCCCTCATAGATAAATGAACCCCAGGGCCCCATTGCTTCAGGTTGGTGTTCTGCTCTTTCCGGGAAGCGACCTGAACCTAGCATTCCGCATTGCTGGGATGGCAGTCTGAGATGCCAGATTGAGGCGCCGGGCTGGACCTTTATCAACATCTGTGCCCCATTCTGGATAGCTCTGGCACTCTGCTGTTTCCTTACGAAGTTCATTATGAGGTACGTAACTTGGGTTGAAAGTTGACAGGCTGCACCTGTGCTCTTTACTTTTCTTGCCTGCCGTAATGAGGTAAATCTTCGCACGGTTGGAAGGGGCGTCTTATGTAAGTAAGCACAAGACGAAAACGGGGACCGAGGGTGCGAAAGTGACACTGACATTAGCAATTGCACTTGCACCTGCCTGCCATTTCCAATGCCTGGGCACCCACCAACCGTGCCTGCCTCTTCCTTCCGCGGTCACTTCCATTGGATCTTGCCCACCCAACTTCCTAAGGTACTCCGTGCCTTCCTTGGGTATCCGGATGGAAGGTCCCTTCCCCTCCACTCCTCCGACGTGCCTTGCAGCTTGGATGTCAGGGTCTGGTGCATGAACATTGCTTACCTAAGTGCATATTTCCCGACGTGCAACACGTAATCTTAGAGTTCGCATTATCGACTTTCTGCAAATTCATCCCATCCGGCCCAGACGTCAAACATTCAGCATGATCGGCGCTGCTTCTCGAGTCACAGAGCCTGTCACTGGCAGCCTGGCAGCAGGGGCTTTCTTTGCTCTTTTACCAAGTGATTTGGAACTGCAAGCTCTCGACTGTCCATACCTAGTGCAATTCTCTCGACTGTGCCGTGATTGTCACACTCTCACCACAATCCCCTCTACGCTGCGGGATGGGCACGGAAAGCTTGGCTTCACAGCCACTGATATGCAAGAGAAACACGATCCAAGATGCACCAAGTCGACGCCTGCAGGGAAATTGTCCGTGAACCTGCACTAGCACAGCTTGCACGACACCCTCTTGGCTGCACTACTTCGCACACACTGCACACTGCCTGCTGCACACCATACGAAGTACATATCACGACCGAGGTCTAACGGATGCATATCGGCGCGTCTCAACAGGTTTGCCTGGCACGCTGCAATTCCATCCGCTGACTTTGATACGATGCGCAGATATACGCCGGCCACATCGGATTGTCATCTACATGAGCATTCCTCGGAACAACACCACAGTCATTTCTCAAACATTTGCGTTCCTCCGTCTCGACTTTGCTTGGGCCCAGCAAATGTCAAACCATGTCTTCCAAGTTTTCTCTCTCGGCCATTTCTGACTCCCATGTCAATGCCGCGCGCCGCCTAATACCATGATTTGGGTCCGTTCCTGAGCTAGCAGATCACAACCACCCATCTCCGCCAACGAAGCGTCTCCTTCTCTCAACCATCCTAGCAATCCGGCCACGAGCCGGCCTCCGTTTGAAGCTCCATAACTTCCCTACAGAGACGTGACCCCGTCTCAATTGGTCCGGTGTGCTCGACGGTCCGGCAGACCAAGCAAACGCTCGAGGCGCCGTTGCGCCGAGCCGTGTCGCCAATAATCCCGTTTCAGCAGTCAAAGTCAACCGGGGTTCATCTGCCGCAGATGGGGACACTAAAGGGAAGCTGCATTGCAGCTCGCCGCCTTTCCAACAAACGTCAAACGTCCCCTCCTCTACTCCCGCCTTTGATCCGGTTTTCAGACTTTGGTCCAGCGAGGCCGCCTACCGTTGACAGCATGGCTATTCGACTAGGTCTCGGGGCTTTTTCATGTGGCGATCGCCGCAAGGCTCAAGACCACAACGCTAGGTATGTATCCGTATTCAAATTGCATGCGACGGCCACTACCATGGTGCGCAAAAGATCGTCCTCCATCACGAGTCAACGGCACCTATTGACAACCTTACGCGATGCTGAGTCCTGACAGGCCGTTCTGCCCTAGCCCAGTCTCACGTACGGTTACCTATCGCGTTTTCAACTTCTCGGTCAAGCGAGAAACATTGGATTCCCAAACGGGAAACCGGCTCCATTCCGAATCTCCTCGCATGCAGGCAGGCCGCTAGCACCAATCCCCACGACCATGGCCCACAATCCTTGATCCTTGAGCGCGTGGTGGTCCCTGGCCGCCCCCATCCAACGAAGAACCAGACCAGGCAACCCCTATTTCGCATTTTCCCGTCTTCTCATCGTCAAAGGTCCCGCGCACAAGAAGCTTTTTCTGCTCTAGCCCGAGACCAGGGACAATAGGTAAGACTTGGGCGAGAAAATTTGAGCTTTCCCACTTGATCGTATGAATTATCGTGGCTTATCATACGGAAAGTGCCTATCAAGGATACGGACCGTTTCATGCAGCCCACACCAAGAGCCTGGCACGCAGCACGAGGCAAGAGAGTTCGTCCCCGCTGCCTGGGTCTGCAAGCAAGGGCGTTGAAACATTTCATGGAAACACATTCCCTCTTGCCGGTACGGACATGCAGGTACCTCAGGATTTTGTTTCCTCCAGGCTGCATCAGCCGCGCTTATCTTCAAAAGATGATATTTTCCATCATGGGTCTATCGTGAGCTCCTTGATTTTTGGCTCTGTTCACCTTTTCGGGTCTTTGTAATATCCGATTCTTCGCAAGCAGACGAGCAACGATGTTACACCGTTGTCCACTCTGGCTAGAAATGTCAGAGCGTTTGCGCCGAACGTGGCTCCGGCACGCTGATAGACCCAGAAACGATCAGGCATGACCCATTTCTCGTACCCTGGCTCGAGTGGTGCTTGCGTATCATGGTTCGCGCATCACCCGGCGTCAACAGTCGGACACGGAGCCCAAGAAAATCCCCATCTGCTAAAATTTGCCGCTGACTCGATTGCGAGCTGCTCACTGCGACTTTGACTATTACACGTGACGGTGCCGGCGGGGCACTTTCGGAACCGTGGGAGTTCGGGACCCTCTCCAGCCGGAGGAGCAAAGAATATCCATGGACGAAAAAGTATACGGACTCTCACCGAGCTCCGAATCTCAGAGGCTCAGACCTTTTGCCGTCATGAGCCCGAGTTGCCTGTTGCCTTTTGCACTGGCCATCGGCGGGCCGGCACGGAACCCATCGGACGACATTTGGTCTCCGAGACGCGGAGGCAAAGCTGGCTGTACGGCGTCCCCTCGATGGTGTCGCCCAACGCACAACTATCAGCACTCTCAGCTGTAAGATATTTTACATCGAAATGTATGAAAGTGGTGGCCTTAGAGTTTGAGCACCGCTCGTTGTTTCCGCTGTCTAATTCCAGTGTGGCGGAAGCCCATGCCGGTAGAGGCCGCAGTCATCGCCAGGCCGTGATTCTTTCCCCTAGCACGGCAAAAGGAAAGCAGAACTATCTCAAGACGTAGAGATCACCGTGGACCATCTCCTAGTTGACTTCTGCAGAGCAAGAACAGGTTCCGAACAAGATGGAAGTCGCATATGCACACACCGACAGTCAGAGGAGAAAGCGGAGCTGGAGGATCTGCTCCACTGTCATTGCATTGACACTTTTGCCGTCGCCACAAGTCTTTGCAGTTGATGCCGTTGGGAAACACGGCAACAACTCACATTCGCACGAGTGCGAGTTGTGGCTGCCGCCGCTTGGTGTTGGTGTCTGGCGACTTGGGCATCACGATGCCCTCACTCTGCCACATACGACCATGCCCATTGGAAAACTCGGGATCCCGTCCGCTCTCCCATAGATAAGCCAATGAGGGGAGTCTTACCTATGGAGAGTCGCATTTCTGACTAAACGCCGGTGAGACGGAGATGGCCCCACATTTCCTTCCCGTGTTGCCCGTACCGTTAGAGCCCCGTCTCCGTTTCTGGCCTCCGGCCTGGTCGCTGTTACGCGCCGCAAAGGCAGAGCCCGGGTGTGGCCATAGATGACGGCGGTTATTGCGCTCAAAATTTGAGATGTGGGATTCAAATTCTCTGCCATCCCTCCCCCCTCCCTCACACTCCTCCGTCCCTCGCACTCATTCCTGGCGTTCCCTTCGTCCTCCCACTCACTACTTCGCAGACTTCTTGTTCCTCCTACGATGGATTTTCACTCGATCTCCGGCCGACCAGTCCCTAGCGAATTACGTTCATAACAAGAAAGAGCTACGAGGGATTTCGCTCTTTTCTCTAAGGAAGCTTTACCCGACCGCGCTAACGTTATACCTAAAACAATAGATCAACGTGAAAGAGTATAGGCAAAATAGGAACTATAAGAAAGCTTCACCCTATAATTAACGCGAGTTTACTAACGTCATTTTCGTACACATAGGTGGGCAAAAAACATTATGAACATCGACCTTAATCAGACTTAGCTTAACTTTTACCTCCATTATAACACGGCCACTACCTATATACGAATGTTTCTAAAAGCCTATGTCGAGAACTCGTATGAGCTTCGCGTTTATCTGGGCCTAGAAGAGTATGAATAGGTAAGTATAGTCATGACGGGGGTTACGCTTATGGATATATAGAAAAGTCTAGTAGGGTCCGCCAATATGAAAGTGCTTTAGAAAAAGAGACAGGAGGAGTGACGGAAACTATATGTACCCACAACTACCTAAATGCAGTAGAGGGATCTCTCTTTTGTATATGGCGCAACGGTACAATTCCGAATTCTGTCAAGGAGCCACATAACCAAGCTGTTACGGCCAGCTAGTCGTAGGGGTATGTTTGCAGAAGTTGAGGCTGCGATACTTAGTAACAGTGTCGTTGATTCGGGGATGTAATAATCAGTGATTATCACACGTCGCGGTGGATAGTTTCCTGGAAACTATGTCTGTCAATCGTGGGGTGGGTAAGGCTTCGGTGATCAATCGTAGTTTTGTCAAGGTGATAGCTGAAAGTGGATGTTAATCCTGATACGAAGTTAATTGCTGAAGAGCTATGGAAGTCTGTCCTTGAGCCCGGCTCAAGTCCATCCTATATAAAAGTCCTGATCCTGAACATATCCTTTGTCCCTTGGGTCGCCCTGGATCATTCTGATCCAGAATGATCGTTTGGCCCCCATTTTGATGATGATGATGTATTTAACGTCTGGTAACAAAAGGACGTGCCGGGCGCTATGCCGACATGGTCTATACTAATCTAAACATTTGGCCCCCAAGTCGTGTTGGATCATATTGATCCCAAATGATCCTTATCTTATCATCACGTGACCTGTACCATAGTTCTTCCGTTCCGTAGAGGGTTACTGGTGTTCCTGCTTCACCCGCGACCTTCTCCTGTAAAAACCTTTTCTTGGCACCTAGTGTTAAGAATTGTTAGGGTTTTCCAGGGCTTCGGCCCGTACCCCTAACGGGTCTTATCATTTCCGTCTTCACTTTCGGACTCGTCTCTCAACACCACCACAGCAACCCTCCCCCTCATTCCTTTCACAACACCAAACACGACGAGACCTCCCCCGAAAGTGAAGTAGGGCGAGGGTTTAGAAGCTTTGAAGGTCACTCTCGCCCTCGCCGATCCGCGCGTCCGCTAGCCTGCGGCGCGCTATGCCCGCCGCGTGCGGGCCACCACTCAAACAAGGCACCAAAGCCCCGGCACAGCAGTTAGGCTATTTTCTGTCTTCATGCCAGACCTTCTGTCTGGAAGGTCTTGAACACTTTCGCTCCCGCCAGAGCCTGACTTGTTCAGGCAGTAACGGAGAGCGTTTGTTGCGGGCTCCTGTATCGCCATCGGCTGGGAGCCGACTTGCTGTACGCCTTCCTTGCTTCGCTCCAATGCAAAGTGGAGAGAAGAAAGGCGTAGAACCACACCACGACTGGCCGTGCTAGGTTTTTCCCCCTTGTGGTTTTCCCTAGTACCTCCGAACTACCTTTCTTGTGGATGAAGCGACCCGGGAAAAGGATGGCGGATAAGAGAATTCTGGTCAGGTGAGAAGATCTGCTTCATTTTGGAGCGGTTTGAACAGGAGCGTTAGATGAAGACGTAGCCCTGTAACATAGTTTAGATTAGCATAGACCATGCCGGCATCGCGCCCGACACGTCTCTCGTCGCTCGAGACGTTAAATATACCACCACCACCACTGCTTCACCCGCATACATGGTGCGCTGTAGTCGCCGTGACCTGCGGGGCAGGCCTGAACTTGGTCATGCATGTTGGGTCGTAACAGTAAGGTGGCTTAGGAATAACACGCCTCTACAGTCGTCAAAGAACCTTCTAATCGAGCAGAAAGTGCTTGTTAGTCTGTTTATATTGGCAACTGGTAGCGCACAACGAAACGTCAGCCATTTCTTCCGGATCAGTCAGTCAACAGTGTGTATGGTGTGGAATGAGGTATTGCCATACCTTGTAAAACTCCATAAGGCATACGTAATACCAGCTGGAGAAGCAGAGCTTTCGCCAGAGATCGAGAACAACAAGAAACTAGGCAAATATTTTACTGGCTGTGTTGGCGCAGTTGACGGCACTCTTATTAACGCGTATATCTCTGAAAACAATCAGGCAACGTGGCGAAGTCGGAAAGGGATAGTGGCACAGAATGTCTTTGCTGTAGTTCGGTTTGATGGGGGGTTCTCGTATGTGCTTGCTGGGGCTGAAGGGTCTATCCACGATGCTAGCCTGGTCAACTTTGCGTATAGTCGAGGGTTTCGAGTCCCAAAAGGCCGATATTTCTTAGCTGACGCAGGGTTTGGTGGACGAAGTGGCCTTGTTGTTCCATATAACAAAACTCGTTATCATTTGCAGGAATGGAGGGACGCAGAGAGACCACCAGAAACAGCCCATGAGCTATACAACCTCCGTCATAGTCGCCTTCGAGTCATCGTTGAGCAGGTCTTTGGTCGCCTTAAGCGGAAGTGGAAAATTATTCGCCAAGCAGCTCCAGAGTATTGCCTTGACTCGCAAGTCAAGATCATATACGCAGTAACAGGCCTCCATACCTTCTTGCTGTATCATCTTGAAGAGAAGGTTGTTGAAGATATTGAAGAAGAGGGTATTAATGTATTTCAAGCAGGTGAAAGGGCTGATAAGTGGTGTATGGGGCAAAGTATGTAGGATATTCGGCAGCAGACAGCAACAGCAATGTGGCAACAGTGGCAGGCAGCAGGCTCGCATGGGTAGATAATAGTCATTACAACTGATTGTGACAACTTACTATTACAACTAATTGACCTATCGACTTTTCTCTTGCTTATATACCTCCATACAATACGCCTTCTTTAACTCGTCACTTGGTAGTAAGTTCCAATACCTTGCTCGCGATACTACTAACTTCTTCTCCTTCGTTATCAACCTATTTGAAACAACCAGATAAACGTCATAATTAAGGTCACTTTGAAATCTCGCAAGGTCCTCCATCGCCTTATTCACCTCAACTTCTTCACGTGACGGCTGCTCTCTCACCCTGTGTTTCTCCTTCAACTTCATTGCTAATACCTCTCCTTTACTGCTAGAGAACTTGTTTCCAAGGTCCTGTATCGACTGGCCAACGTACGCGTTGGCCTCGGCAGCAGTAAGTGTTTTCTTTCTCCGTGGGTTGTTGCCGATAGGAATGAATTGGCCACGTTGAGGTAGAGGAGTTGAGTGAAGATTTGACGTTAGGGACTGTGGCGATGAAAAGGGAGACTGACTTGGCTGTAGATCCCGTGTACCTGGATAAAGGTCGTCTTCTTCGACATCTCCAACATCCTCTTGGTCACTACCGTCGCCCCTAGAGTCGACCTCACGGCTGACCTCTTCAATAGACTGAATATTGTTGCCCTTGCCAACAGCGGTACTCCATATCTCTTGGTATGGAGCCGGCGGCCCTATCCCTTTCTCGAAAACCCACTCTTGCCGTGGATGGTCGCTAAGAAAGCTCTCTTTTGCCTCATCACTGCAAAAGACTCTGCCGTCATCTTCATCGTACGTATTGCCTGACCTATAGGCAACAGAGGCCCAGGTATCGTACCTCTTTCTCTCAACGTCGTACTTATTAGCTAACTGTATAGCAGTTACGCTATTAGCGAACCAGGCCTCATCGTTTATTTGCGTTGCAAGCTCGATGAAAATAGGCCTTCTCGTGGCAGCCTTGGTGGTGTTGAGTTTCTTGTCCCGGTAGAGGATGACGAGCTCCTCCATGAAGCGATGAGTTAGGTCCGAGTTCCATGGCGTGCGAGACCGTTTTCGTGCTTGGCTGACACTTCTGATAGACTGCTGAGTCTGTTCTTCGCAAGAAGGCAAAAGACTGCCTTGGTTGGCTGCATCACCAACTTCATCATCATCATCATCAAGATCATCAAACCACCGCCTTCGCTTTGCTGGTTGCCTTGCTGAACGCCGTGGTGGGTGCTTTCTCTTGCTGCCGCTGCTGCCGCTGCTGCCGCTGCTGCTGTCGTCTTCATCAGCAACAACAATAATAGTACCCTCTTTGTTAATGGAGAGTCCTTCTTCGGTTTGCCAATTCGCCATTGCAACTTCACAATAACGACGTTAGCAAGAGGAAGAAGCAATTAATGATAACGTCAACATTGAGGGGAAATGAACCCTATTATCTACAGGGCAGGCGGTGAGTAACATCCTCAATATCAGGGATCACGGCGATACTTCATGCAATTATGTGTTACGACCCAACATGCATGACCAAGAACAGGGCTTGCCCCGCAGGCTCGCGGCGGTTACAACACACCACATATGCAGGAGACAAGGGACACTAGGCACCCTCTCACGGAGCGGAAGAACTATGATACAGGTCACGTGATGATAAGATAAGACATGAGCGACCATGGTGGGGCCATGAGCGCTCATGCCAAGTAATGAGCACTCATACAGGAACAATGAGCGCTCACCCGATCAGAGGGACTGATCATTGATAAGGGATATATTCAGTACCAGTACTTGTATATAGGATGGACTCGAGCCGGACTCTAGGACAGACTTTCCATAGCTCTTCAGCAATTAACTTCGTATCAGATCTTATGATCGCTTTCAGCTATCTTCCCTGAGAACCTCTTTGATAAGACTACGATTGATCACCGCAGCCTTCCCTTACCTTACGACTTACAGACATAGCTTTCCTGAAGCTATCTCCGACTACGAATACTGTTACCAGTTCCGCAGCCTCAACTTCTGCAAACATACCTCACTACGACTAGCTGGCCGTAACATTATGCTTCCACTTAGCAGGAATTACTAAGCAACAAGTACTAATTATCCAAGTTACCTACGTTATCCAAGTTTTATCCAACATACCGATCACTGCCTAAACCTTTTAATAAGAAGTTGTTATGCCCTATTTATTAACGTAATGAAGGTCACGTTATAGATTTCACTATCAATGGTTTCGAGTCTTGGATAGAGCATGCCTTGGATTGTCACGGACGAGACAGCCAGACAGGGTGCAAGCGGCCAGTTCTCCTTTGAATGTTTTCTATGCCCACGAAGCGGCGCTATGGATTGTATCTCTAAGCGTTTGATTCATGGATGAAGCATGCAATGGATCATTATGGCCGAGATAGCCAAACTGGCCAGGGGAGTCATTAAAGCTACGATACACGTGATGGGCGGTATTTCTATGTTCCAAAAATGCGCTCGAGATGCCAGCATACAGATGCTGCATGTTTGAACCGCTGTTTGAAGAGCTTGGTCGGTTACTGGCTTCATCAGTGTTGGTTCCACGGTCGCTTTGGGTTGGCGAGTTCTCTCGAGGGCAACAGCCACGTAATCATCGTGGTTCTATTGCTTGTTCTTCTTGTTGTTTTTATCTTACATTGTAGGCAGGAGTCGGTCGAAGTAGGTAGTGACGGCCTGGGTGATTGCCCCACCTTTATCCGGCCGTGATGACTAAGCCAGTTGTCCTAATTCGTGACGGTTAGTCAGGGTGGCCAGCGGAATATGCATATGTGAGTGAGCAGAAAAGAGCGTCTATTCGTACTAAAGAGTGGATGGAATCACCACAGGCTTGTGGGCCTAATGCTATCCTAATAAGTCTTGCAGAGCTAGGACCAGGTGGAAATGACAGTCTGGCCTGTTTCGTGATGGTCAGACCATTCCGAATGGGTTATGTCCATGACTCGCGTAGAAGCATGCATGGATTCTGTCACTTCGCCCAGGGCAGGTGCCAGCCAGCCCATGGTACCAGCCTATTACTCCTTATCAGCCTTTGCTGTTCCAACAATCAGATTTATCTGGTGCTGCATCTGCGGCTTACAATTCGCTGGCACGCTGCATGAACGCGCATCCACGAACTAGTAAGTGCGTCTCCATTTTCAATCTCAGATGCTATCGCCTTGGAAAATGAAACCTCCGCCGCGTCCTGACTCGTCGGCCAACTCCGTACGCAACTTCTTCAATTCCTTGTCCATCGACTCGGGGCTAGCATTCTCCCGAAGGTGCTCAAAGTCGAGTAGCTTCACCCCTTCTTTCGTGACCAGAAAGTTGTATCGGTTGACATCCCCGTGTTCAAGTCCTAGTTCGTGGAGTTTCCCTAGAGCGGCTTCGCAGACGGCCAGATCCTGGGAGGAAGCAGAGCGTCCCTCTATTTTCTCCACCAAAAAACCCATGATGCGTCCATTCTCGTGGACATGGGCGAGGAAGCGCGGGGCCAGCCCTTGGCCTTCAAGTAGCCGATATGCTCTTGTTTCTTGTTCGATGCGAGGCAGTTCCCATTCGAAACGGGCTATTTTGACAATTATGGTGGCCGGTGATGTGAGATTGGTTGGGAGGGTCGAAGGGAACAGGGCCTCGAAAGTCCTTGCCGTGAGCTGTTTGGTCTTCTCCAATTCTAGGCAATCAACCTTGGTATGGTGCCATTGATCCTCGACACCGGCTAGTGGTCGGTTCACTAGAGAGGTTTTCAAGTCGCCGCTGGTTTTATCTCGTGAGATGCTGGCTACGGTCCATTCCTTATTGTAAGGCAGGCGGGGCAGGGACTGAAGGGGGAATGAAAGTATGTCCCTGTCAAAGGTTCCGGGAAAGATAACGAGATATTTGACTTGGTTTCCGATTCTCAGACGGTATTCGCTTTGAAATGAGTCGTCATCGTCCACTTCCATGGACAGCAAGGCCGGCTGCATTGGCGGATTCGTAGTGTGATTGTCAGACATTGTCAACAATGGATCACTGACTGCAAAATCGTCAGTCTATACATTTGAAGAATATTAAGCACAGTAGATATACAGCATTCGGGAATTTATGCTTTGTGGATTCTTTTACCGTCGCCTTATAGCTATGTGCGAATTTAGTGTCCTCTTCGTACTTTCGTGATGTTAGCATACAAGCCAGCGGCACTGTGCAGTACTTTGAAGTACAGCGCGAAGTTGGAAATGGCTGCCGGATTACACCTGCAACAGCGGATTTGGCCAAGTCCGGCCTGTAGTCAGAAGTCGTGTAAAGTAACTCCGTTTCCACCAACGAATGATTGCTTTATAAGGAGAACAGCACACAGTGCACTTCCGGGCTAGTAGAACCAATCCTGCTTACCCCAGTACATCCTGCGTAAATAACCTTCTATTTGTTATTGTTGGTTTGCGTGTACCACAGGTTATTCACACAGGTATTCCTGGTATTGCGATCGGTAGCAATATCGTTGGGTTAATCTGGTGTTCTTGTTGTTGTTATTGTTGTTAAGGAGAGTATCTAAACGCGAAGGCTCGTGATATGGAAGGAGGGAGCTGAGGTGTGTCACGTGCCGAAGACACGTGACATAGCTCGGCTCCGTGTATACCTAGCGATTGCCGTTTGTTCCCAAAGCGAAGTAGAGTGATACCTCGAAAGGTACCCACTGTTAGCACTCCTACCTTCGTCAATGGATGGTGCAAAAGTCCTGCTAGAGAACAGAGAACAGATCGCTGCCCTTCTCCAAGCGCAAGCGATCGAGCAACGCGATACCTGGATCCGAGCCTATATCGCAAACGTCCCTTACACCAGGCATTGTCTGGTAACCAACACTGAGCTAGAAATCACGACCGAGGAGCTCCTTGAAGAGATCCAGGTCTCGACGAAACTCAAGCCTGAAAAAGCACACTTCTCTAGGAAGGACGAAGTCGAAAGGCTAGGCACGGTGACAGCCTGGTTCAAGGCGGAAGCCGTAAGGCAACTACCAAGACGCCTCCGTTTGATGGGGGCCAGCGTTTTTGTAAACCTGCAGTTCCCGAAGGAGAAGAGGTCTCCTCAATGTCTCCGCTGCGGCGGTTTTCACAGCGAACGAACGTGCACCAGAAGGAAGAGATGCCTCAAGTGCAGCTCTCCTTCCCACACAACTGATCAACACCGGGCACCCTGCGGCGGCACTGAGGGTCACGATGGCTGCGACTGCCCCTTTAAATGCCCGTCGTGTAACGGGCCTCACGCCGCCTTCGATGCGACTTGCCCTATCCAACCCAAAGTGGTGAAGGGGGTAGTCCAGAGGAGGGATAAGGCTCAGCTACGGGCCATCCGAGCTGAGGGAGAAAGATTATGGAGAAATGCGACCTAGCAGTCGCATCGACATTCCCGTGAAGAAGAACAAGCGATGGACTGTACCCCGGCGAATGAGACATAAAAGAAGAATATAGCCCTCTAAAACCCTGTAAATCATGCAAGCGAATGTGGGTAGGCGGGCATCCGCCTACGAAACAGCACTAAACCTGGCTTACGCAGCCCAGATCGATATTCTCCTAATACAAGAGCCGTCTATCCGTTCGGAAGAGAGGAGGCTCACAAGACACCACCCAGGTTTTGAGACTTTCACCCCAGTAGATAACTGGACCGAAGACCGTCCCAGGGTACTTACCTACCTCCGCAGAGGAACTGGGGTACGAGGCGTACAAATACGGCCTCTACCCGATCCATCCACAGACCTGCTCTTCTTACGACTCCTCTCAGGAACGAAGGAGGTCCTCACAGTCATCAACGTATATAACGCCCCTCGTGGCTCTCTGCGATCTGGCCAGGCTCTCAGGAACATCCTAGCGGCCTGGCAACCCAAACCTGAGGATCGAGTACTGATTGCGGGGGATTTTAACTTACACCATTGGACGTGGCAGCCCGAGGCCACGAGTTCCCCGGACGCTGAAAACCTAGTAGAATGGGCAGAAGCCGCTAGCCTTGTCCTAATGTCACCTATAGGTGAACCCACGCACAAAGGCGGCAACACCCTAGATTTATGCTGGGCGTCCAGTAACCTCCATGGGGCTTCCACCAGCATAGAAACGTCACTACACACGACATCAGACCACGAATCTCTGCTTACCCGGGTCCCCTTGGCCCTGATCGATTCACCCAGCCAGACCCCGGGAAGGTTTCGGCTCGACACGATGGACGAGGAGCTTTTCCTCGGCATCATTAAACGCAACTTACAACCCATGCGCCGCACTGCAAGCAACATCCAAGACCCATAGTCTTTAGATCTCCTAGCACAACAGCTTACGGACTGTCTTATTAAAGCACTTACGGCTTCCACAAAGCGCACGCTCGGGAAAGGTATAGGGAGACCATACTGGAGCGAGAGCTGCACACGTAAACACCGAGCCTATGCGAGTAAGCGAGCGATGTTAGCAAGACTCCGCGCAGCCGGAGTGAACTGCTAATGGGAAGAAGAGGAGGTCGAAGCTCTAAAACAGGACTTCCTCTACGAGTTTAAACGCTCCAAGGATGCCTTTTGGAAAGATAAGATCTCCTTAGCCTCCTTAAGCAAAGACATATTTGAAATGGTCGGTTGGTACAAAGCCATAGGATCCTTTCAGACCCCGCCACTCCGAGATGTAGACAACCAAGACACGCTTGTCTCATAACCAAAAGAGAAGCGTGACTTATTTACCTGCGTCCTCCTTAGAAACGCTGCAATCTCCGAGGACATACCAACAGAAAGCCCAGTCCTACAAAGGCAAGCTACGCTTCCTTTCCCGCAGGTTACGAAGGACGAGGTACGGTCTTCGGTTCTCACCGCGGGAAACACGACTCCTGGGACCGACGGAATCACTACGACTGCTTTGAAAATAGCATGGCCAGTTATTGAGGATATTGTCCTCTCACTTTATAGCGGGTGTATATGCGAGGGTTAACATCCTACTTGTTTTAAAGAAGCAACTCTCGTGATCCTAGCAAAACCGGGAAAAAGAGACAAGACACTCCCGCGCTCCTATAGGCCAATTGCGCTCTTGGCCGTCCTCGGAAAAGGCTTGGAGAGACTCATCGCTAGACGACTTGCCTGGATCGTAGTTAAATATCGTGTTCTGCACGATCAACAGTTTGGAGCACTCCCTCTTCGCTCTTGTAGCGACCTCATCGTAGCGGCCATCCACGATATCGAGTGCGCCTGGCAAAGAGGCCTGGTTACCTCTATGCTTATGCTCGATATAAAAGGGGCTTTCGACGCCGTGCTCCTAGGACGACTGGTCCGACGCCTCTGCGAATAAGGATGGCCGGAGAACCTCGTACGCTGGGTCTCAAGTTTTGTTACCGGAAGGAGAGCAAGAATAAGGCTTGATGGGGAGGTAGGAGTCGTCTTCGGTCTCGAATGCGGACTACCATAAGGCTCACCCGTGTCTCCTATTCTATTCATGCTCTATATTGAACCTCTTTGCAAGCTAGGTATAGCTCGCCTAGGAAGGAAGCGATCTCGTTTCGGCTACGCCGATGACGTCGCTATCTTAGCAAGCTCAACATTACTAGAGAATAACTGTGACATCCTAACCAAGGAATGGAAAGAAACCTTAGGATGGGGCGCGACGGAAGGAATCACTTTTGACCTCGATAAGTCCGAACTGATCCACTTCACTAAGAGACGAAAAGACGGAAACCTATTAATCATAGTAGGTTTGCCGGATGGGAGGTATTATATAGTTCAGGCTATTAAAGAAGGCTCTTCTCTACGCTGGCTCGGCGTTCACTTCGACCGTAAACTCATATTCAAGAGTTACGTAAGAAACCTCTCTGCAAAAGCATGCCAAGTAGTCAATGGACTACGGGGACTAGGGAACACTGTCTGGGGCGCGCCTGCGTACTTACTTCGTCGAGCGATCACCTCTTATATATTACCTACTTAGTACTATATATCTGAAGTATGGTGGCCCGGCAAGAGCCGGATAAAGAATGGACGTACTATCTCAAACGGGGTTGGTAGTCTGCTACACCAACTGGACGCGACGCAAACCAAAGCCATTAGGGCGATGGTCCCCGTATACAGAACTACGCCTGTACCGATCCTACAGCGCGAGGCGGCTCTACCCCAGCAGAGGTGATACTGGACGCGAAGCTCCACACAGCGTCCACCAGAATCCATCGTCTGGACGAGCGACACCCTCTCCGAACGAGACTCAGGGACAAATCAGGACCAGACTCACGGCTACGACGAATGGCAAGCCTCGTAAGCAAAAATACCGAATACATCGATCCGTTAGAACTCCCCCCTTGGGAGCAACTAGCGGACTGGCAGACAGCCCTCGCCAGGGTCGGCTACGAACCTAATAAAACCAAAGAAGAACAGGCCCTCTCCTTTGCAGGCAGGATGGTAACTTTCTCCAAGCGGGACATTATTATCTACACTGACGGGTCCCAGATGTCGGACGGCAGCAGCACCTCCGCCGGAGCAGGCTGGGTAGAGTACCAAGCTACACAGCAGATCTTCCGCGGATCCGAACCACTCGGCTCTCAAACTGAGGTATATGACGCGGAGGCATATGCTGCGTATCACGGCCTGATGGAAGCTACCCGGGCTCCTACGGCTCGTATGGCAGATAACGTCCACATCTGCCTCGACAACCTCGCAGTCGCGGCTAGACTATACTCCCAGAGCACAGGAAGCAGCCAGGCTAGATTTAGGGCCTTCAATAGGCTCTCTTCCTCCTGGACTCGGAGACAAAGAGAGAGCTGGACAACCCCCGGCAGGGTTTATGTTTGGTGGTGCCCTGGGCACACGGGAGTACCAGGAAATGAAGAAGCGGATGCTCTAGCCAAGGAAGCCTGCAAACTAATCCCAAAATCACAACCACAGCCCTCATTAGCGCACCTAGAAAGGCAAGCTAAAGCAGCTGCCTTCCAAGCCTTTGCCAGAAAATGGCTGTCCCAATGCCCTCGGCAATATGCCGACCTCGAGATAATTCTTCACCCCAAGCCGCCCGAACTCCGCCTCCCTCGGCACTTACTAGGAAGGCTATACGCAGCAAGATCCCATCATGGAGACTTTGCAGCATACCACCAGAGATTCGCTCATCAAGATACGTTGCTCAACTGCAGCTGTGGGAAACCCAAGACACCAGTCCATTTCTACTTCTACAAGCGTGGACGTAAGGCTACACCGCACTACCTCCGCCAACGTATAGCCAAAGCAAGCATTAATTTCTTATTAGGTTCTACTAAGGGAGCCTGTCTTCTATACGAATAGATAGAGGAGACCAATTTCTTTTCCAAAATTTGCCCGAGTCATTAAACAGGAACGTTAGGTGAAGACGGTAGCCTGTAACATAGTTTAGATTAGTATAGACCATATCGGCATAGCGCCCGGCACGTCCTTTTATTACCAGACGTTAAATACATCATCATCATCATCATCAACGCCGTTTGTTCCCACAGTTGTTTCCGAGGCCGTCCTTTTCGACTCCTGCCCCACCCAATCAATCGTCTCTGGAAGTGGACTAGCTATTTGAGAGCGCATCTCAGATCCGGCGTGAATGACTGTGGAAGAACAAGCGGGTCTATTGAAGGACATGCTTCTGTATGAAGAGACGGGACCATCATGCTCAGGATGCACTACGCGAGGACTACCGGTATTGATAGTGTACCACCTGCCCCCGCGATGAGTCTCGACGTTGACGCCCAGGCGGATTCTTGTGCCTTCATAAGTCCTTAGCCTACACAGGGCAGAATTGACTGGCAAGCGCTGCAGCCTGTGCATTTGGCCTTGGCAAATTCATCTCAGGCATCCACGCATGTTGAGAAGCTGGCCTTCAGCAAATGATAGGTCGGAGCGGAAATAGTGAGGGGTCGGGCCCTGGACTGCAACCGTTTATCGGTAATGTGCAGTCAACGTGAGGCTGACCTAGCACTTCACGTTCAAGAAGCAGAATTTTCTCTCGTAAGGCGGCGGAATCAATACGTCTGTGATCTGTTTAAGCCCAGCGGAGCCAGACTTCCAGTATTTCACGCCTGCTATATAATCGACCCACCAAAGCTCAACTCGAAGATACCATCGCCAGCAGCCAACCGACGAAAGATGTACGATCCGAACACCAAAGAGTCAGGTGATGATAACGATAAGAGCGCCGCAGACAGTAAGAGCGGCTCGCTCAAGCATGGCCGCACCTCAGCACCTGGTAAGCCCCCTCGGAGTCTGGGATGCTAGTCCTTACTAGTCCTTTCTAATGGCGTTGTCAGACTCTGATGCCGATGACTTCCAACCCCGAAAAAAGAGAAAGAGTGGTGTTGATCGGCCGGAGGTAGATGCTCCTGTCGCAACAGAGGACTATACTGTGGGCTGGGTGTGTGCCCTCCCGTTGGAAATGGCTGCCGCGAAAGGGATGCTCGATCAGGTTCATCCGAACTTGCCCTGGCAGGATCCAGCCGACCATAACAGCTACGTCTTGGGTCAGGTCCAAGGCCATAACGTCGTCGTCGCCTGCCTGCCTGCAGGCATCTATGGAACAACACCAGCTGCCACGGTCGCGAAGGACTTGCTGCGGACCTTTAAGTTAATCCGGTTCGGCTTGATGGTTGGAATCGGCGGTGGTGTACCGTCGCGAAAACATGACATCCGGCTGGGCGACGTCGTGGTTAGCCAACCCACTGAAATAAGTGGAGGTGTCATCCAGTACGATCGGGGGAAGACGGTGCAGGAGGGGGAGTTCCAACGTACAGGATCGCTCAACGCACCACCCCAGGTCCTGTTAGCCGCCCTGAGTCGTCTCCAGGCCGACCACCTAATCGAAGACAGCAGAATCCCCCAATTTCTATCTGAGCTTGTCAGCAAAAGCCCTAAAAAGATGAAAAAGAAATTCGGTCATCAAGGTGCTCTCTACGATTATCTCTTCCAAGCAGGATATGACCACCTTAGTCCAGACTCTACTTGTGATCAGTGTGATCATACACACACGATTCAGCGGGAGGACAGAGATGAAACAGACCCGTTTATTCATTACGGTAATATTGCCTCAGGCAATCAGGTAATCAAGCATGGAAAGACACGCGATAAGTTAAGCAAAGAGCTTGGGGTGCTCTGCTTCGAGATAGAGGCTGCAGGACTACAAGATTTCCCATGCCTAGTAATCCGTGGTGTTTGCGACTACGCGGACTCTCACAAGAACAAACGGTGGCAAGAATACGCAGCTGCAACAGCAGCCGCGTTTACAAAGGAGCTTCTTTCAGTCATACCGCTAAATAGGGTCCTGCAGGAGAAGACTATACTGCAGTTAGTGTCTGGTAAGTAGATAGTTCCTAGCCTAAATATTTCAGTTACTTCGTCCTTCTATATATTAAATTCATTATTTGAGTTCAACTCCCTGGTTGAACATTTCTTTTAAGGAATATTTAGGTACTAATATCTCATGCAGATCCTCACCTTCATGAGCTTGTTTCGAATACAAATACGGCTATCTTGGCACAGACGCAGAAGCAGGAGGTCAGATACGAGAGCCAAATACAGGTTGATTGCCATCGAACATTCAAAACAAGCGCATATGAGAAGTTTAAGAACATCAACCCCGACCGAGTCCCGGGCACATGCAAATGGGTGTTAGAGCATCGACGATATACAAAATGGCAGCAGAGCCGTCAGGATGACCTCCTTTGGATTTCGGCTGACCCAGGCTGCGGAAAGTCTGTATTAGCCAAGTCCCTTATTGACGAGGAGATACAACAATCGAACGAGCATACAGTGTGCTACTTCTTCTTTAAGGACAACGATGGCCAAAACAGTCTCGCGACAGCCTTATGTGCTCTTCTTCATCAGCTTTTCGACTGTCAGCCACCCCTTATCCGCCAAGCTATGGCGGCATTTGAAAAGAACGGAGAGAAACTGCAGACTGAAGTGGATGAGCTGTGGCGTATCTTCATAGCTGCTTCTACGGACGATAAAGCAGTCAATGTCACTTGTGTTTTAGACGCTCTAGACGAGTGCTGCCTTGATGACCGACGAAAGATCATCAGGCTTCTAACAAACTTCTATAACCGGCAACCGACATCCACGAGAAAGTTTCAACTGAAGTTCCTAGTAACTAGTCGACCTTACCAGGACATCGAATCTGAGTTTCGCGACATACCCGAGCCTCGAACGATTCGTCTCGCTGGCGAAGAGAGCAATGCTGATATCAGCGAGGAGATCAACCTCGTTATCAGACACAAGGTAGCCACAGCCGGGCGCAAACTTGAGTTGAGTCAGGAAGAGCAGACCGCGTTAGAGGAAAGACTGTTGTTAGTCCCGCATCGAACCTATCTTTGGCTACACCTCGTTATTGACGAGGTCCATCACAATCCAAAGCGGCACAAAAAGGCTTTCATCCAGGAACTTGATTTTCTCCCGGCAACAGTAGAAGAAGCCTACGAGAAGATTCTGGGTAGACTCAGACCTAGTCAACAAGAAGAGGCACGTATTCTTCTTCACATCGTCGTTGGCGCTCGCCGACCACTCACACTCTCCGAAATGGACATGGCGTTCCAACTGGCCACGGACTCATCAGATGCTCAGAAACATGAGGACCTTGATCTCAATCACAATCATATCAAGTCACAGATCAGGGAGCTTTGTGGGCTGTTTGTGTTTATCAAAGATGACCGAATCTACCTCATACACCAGACAGCGAAGGAATTCCTCATCACAAAGGATATTTCCAACTGTTCGATAGAAAATTGTTGGAAAGGCTCCCTCTACAGACCAGATTCAGACACGATAATGACGCAAATTTGTGTTCAATATTTGTCATTTGGGGATATTCTTGAGGATCGGTTCCGTGCTGATAGAAGGAAGCTAGATACCGATAAAACACAGTACCCCTTTTTGGAATATTCTGCAATATACTGGCCTTCACACTCGCGAGACGCAAATCGCCTCAAGGAGGGATTACAAAAGCAGATCTTGCGGCTATACGATATGCGAGATCAGCGATTCGAAAGATGGGTCTCAATCTTTTGGCATACAAACTATCAGTACCAAGCGAGGCATAGCCTCAACAGTGTGCATCTGGCTGCACTGAATGGCCATGATGAAGTTTTATCGAGACTGCTCGCATTAGATGCCGCTGCTTTAAACTCAAGGGACAATAAGGGTCAGACACCACTGATTTGGGGGTCTTTGGAAGGCCGACAGAAGGCCGTCCAGATGCTTCTCGGCAAGGGCGCAAATGTTAACGCACAAGGCGGCGAGTATGGCAACGCTCTTCAGGCTGCATTATCCAGAGGCTACGACAACATCGCCCAGATGCTTCTTAGCAAAGACGCAGACGTCAACGCACAAGGTGGCAAGTATGGCAACGCTCTTCAGGCTGCATCATTAAAGGGTCACGACAACATCGCCCAGATGCTTCTCAGCAAGGACGCAGACGTCAACGCACAAGGCGGCTTCCATGGCAACGCTCTTCAGGCTGCATCATCTGAGGGCCATGACAACATCGTCCAGATGCTTCTTAGCAAGGACGCAGACGTCAACGCACAAGGTGGCAAGTATGGCAACGCTCTTCAGGCTGCATCATTAAAGGGTCACGACAACATCGCCCAGATGCTTCTCAGCAAGGACGCAGACGTCAACGCACAAGGCGGCTTCCATGGCAACGCTCTTCAGGCTGCATCATTAAAGGGCCACGACAACATCGTCCAGATGCTTCTTAGCAAAGACGCAGACGTCAACGCACAAGGCGGCTTCTGTGGCAACGCTCTTCAGGCTGCATCATTAAAGGGCCACGACAACATCGTCCAAATGCTTCTTAGCAAGGGCGCAGACGTCAACGCACAAGGCGGCTTCTATGGCAACGCTCTTCAGGCTGCATCATACGGAGGCCATAATAGCGTTATTCAGATACTTCTTAGCAAGGGCGCAGATGTCAACGCACAAGGCGGCTTATATGGCAACGCTCTTCAGGCTGCATCATCCGAGGGCCATGACAACATCGTCCAGATGCTTCTCAGCAAGGACGCAGACGTCAACGCACAAGGCGGCAAGTATGGCAACGCTCTTCAGGCTGCATCATCCGAGGGCCATGACAACATCGTCCAGATGCTTCTTAGAAAAGACGCAGAAGTCAACGCACAAGGCGGCTTCCATGGTAACGCTCTTCAGGTTGCATCAGAAAAGGGTCATGACAACATCGTCAAGATGCTTCTTAGCAAAGACGCAGACGTGAACGCACAAGGCGGCGAGTATGGCAACGCTCTTCAGGCTGCATCATACGGAGGCCATAATAGCGTTATTCAGATACTTCTTAGCAAGGGCGCAGATGTCAACGCACAAGGCGGCTTATATGGCAACGCTCTTCAGGCCGCATCATCCGAGGGCCATGACAACATCGTCCAGATGCTTCTCAGCAAGGACGCAGACGTCAACGCACCAGGCGGCAAGTATGGCAACGCTCTTCAGGCTGCATCATCTGAGGGCCATGACAACATCGTCCAGATGCTTCTTAGCAAAGACGCAGACGTCAACGCACAAGGCGGCTTCTGTGGCAACGCTCTTCAGGCTGCATCATCTGAGGGCCACGACAACATCGTCCAAATGCTTCTTAGCAAGGGCGCAGACGTCAACGCACAAGGCGGCTTCTATGGCAACGCTCTTCAGGCTGCATTATCCAGAGGCTACGACAACATCGCCCAGATGCTTCTTAGCAAAGACGCAGACGTCAACGCACAAGGCGGCAAGTATGGCAACGCTCTTCAGGCTGCATCATACGGAGGCCATAATAGCGTTATTCAGACACTTCTTAGCAAGGGCGCAGATGTCAACGTACAAGGCGGCTTCTTTGGCAACGCTCTTCAGGCTGCATCATCTGAGGGCCATGACAACATCGTCCAGATGCTTCTTAGCAAGGACGCAGACGTCAACGCACAAGGCGGCTTCTATGGCAACGCTCTTCAGGCTGCATCATCTGAGGGCCACGACAACATCGTCCAGATGCTTCTCAGCAAAGACGCAGACGTCAACGCACAAGGCGGCAAGTATGGCAACGCTCTTCAGGCTGCATCATACGGAGGCCATAATAGCGTTATTCAGATACTTCTTAGCAAGGGCGCAGATGTCAACGCACAAGGCGGCGAGTAGCGTTCTCAACTTCATCTCGGGTTTCGGACGATCTCCCGCCAGCTCGCAGGCTGCTATGCTTGAGATACTCGACGCCCAGCGGGCAAGGGATATAAAATGCCACTGGTCGCCCGGACATACCGGGATCCCTGGAAACGAATTAGCTGATAAGCTTGCTAAAGAAGGAGCCGCTCTCCTACTGCCTGACCCTCCACCGCTAGCATCATACGCTGGGATAGCGAAGATGGCCCGCGCCAGAGCCCGTGGCTACCATTCACGATGGTGGCATACTTCGAAGCAAAAGCTCAAACCAGGCTATAAGAAAACTGACGCTGCCCTCCGTTGCCCTCCGGAATTGGACCTACGGCGTCCTCTTTTGCACCACCTCCTCGCTGCTCGTTCTGGCCATGGCCATTTCCACGCCTACCACAGGCGCTTTCAGCACGACGGAGACTTCAAATGTAACTGCGGGCGGAAATTATCGCCTACCCATCCAGTATATTGCACGAAGAACCGCCGTACCTCGGCGCTATGGCCGATTACCGGGACCGTGGACGATCCGGGACCACTACCGCCCCCGATAGGCCTGGCCGAAGCCTATTGGTACGCCCTGGTCAGAGACCCGGGTGCCTTTGAGAAGTTCGAGCGTGTGACGCGCTACTATGAGGCTCACTCTCTGCAAAGATAGCGAGCCCGAGATCCCGCGCCTCACAACTCTCTCACACACCCACCGACGCCTTGAGGCCCCGGCCTTACCACACCCCTCTCTCTTCCTTCCTCCTTTATCTTCTATATAAGAAAATATAAGAAAACAGAAAAATGCTCGCGTAGGCAAATATGCCTCCGAGGGCCGGTTACTTGTTGCGGCAACGCCGTCTGTGGACGGCGTAGGGCTGCTAGAGACCCATTCGCTTCTGCCGAGTCAGGGACCCCCTGCTGGCGTGCTTTTTGGAACTGAACGGACCCTGGGGATTAGATACTAAACTCCACTGCTCTAGGCACGAGAAGAAAAGTGTACATTATAGACTGCCTGACTTGTCGTACGCTATAATGGCGGCACGGCACATCATATGCCCAAAGGGCGCTCTGGTTGATCGGAGCTTAGTTACATAGATAGCTGGGCACCTGTCCCTGATGATGTAAAACACCACTACTACTACTACTACTAAAGGCGGCGAGTATGGCAACGCTCTTCAGGCCGCATCATCTGAGGGTGTTGGTATACACGTCAGCAGGGCAACCGTACGGTTGGAACGAAGTGTCAATAATGGTCTATTATTGCTGCGTCTTGAGGTGGAAGGAGGAGGTTGTGGGCAGAGTCCACGGCCTCTCAGAAGTGGTATGTAAGGGGTCGTTTGTAAGTACCCATACCGCCTTCCAGATCCACCTTTTCTGCCGACTGCTCAGAGATCCAACAGAGGGCCATGACATCATCGTCCAGATGCTTCTTAGCAAAGACGCAGACGTCAACGCACAAGGCGGCAAGTATGGCAACGCTCTTCAGGCCGCATCATCTGAGGGCCATGACAACATCGTCCAGATGCTTCTCAGTAAGGGCGCATTTTTCGGCCACCATGGATTCAGTGGTATATAGTCCTTATTGGTGCAGTACATACCAAGCCATTGTCTCAACGACCTTCCCTCATGCCTCACAGAATGGTTGCCAAGCTTCATTTGGTTTTTCCATTGGTCGCACCGACGAATCGCTGAGATCACACCTGCAGATAGTTGGGTGTACGAGACCACCAGTGACGACGAAGATGACGATTAACACTCAGATATCTACTATTTCATTAGTGATCTGAATCATGGTTCCTCACGCAGCCAACTTCGGCCCATTGCAGGGGCGTTGCCATTTCTCAACTACCACGAGTGGGCTCCAGGCCAGTCGTACGATGATCAGCTCCCTTCGTTGGATGCTCTATACTATGCAATGGAAACTGACCCTGAACAACAGAAAATCTGTCGAGCAAAACAAACAAAATCTTGTTATAGCCTCGAATGATTTCTAGAGAGAAATTCTCTCGCTTCAGATTGCCAAAATCGTGAATTCCAAAAAGAAGACATTAGAGACGAATGCCGCGACTATTGTTATGTTAGTTCCTAACGACCGGTCGGAAGATAAAGTCACGAAGCACTTGCAAATGTGTCACGAGTTATGGCACGCAGCAATGGGCATATGAAGTGGGTTAAAGTGGCTTGAAGTAACCCATCTAGAATGAGCACATGAGAGCAGTCTATATACTAAGAGAGTGTGATATCCACGTGAGAAAGCACGTGGCAAGATGCTTGACAAGTGCTGATACCATTCCTGTTTCGTGAAAAAATGCTATCCCATCGAGTGCTGCAAGGCGACAGTACATTGGCTCCACATAACGGGCCCCCTTTTACCCCGCACCGCATCTGGTACATCCACTGCTTGAGTTGCCCCTATGATTTCCACTCCGGTACATCTACCAAATCCATCATTACCAATACTCAATTAATGGATTCTGACGATTCTGACGGATCTGGCCGTTCCACGGGCTCGGCGAAGTCGTGTATCTTTGCCCTGCTGCCCGAGGACCTCGCCGCCGCCTGCACTGCCGACTGTACGCCGGAGCAATGTGATAATGCCACTGTTCGGCCCCGCGAGCCTCCGGAGGTTGAGCCCGGTATCCCTGGGCAGTTCGTGCCCTTCGAGGTGCCGCAGCGGCCCACGGAGGTCCGGAGCCTACCACCGCAGCCGCTGGACCTCCTCCTCGAGTTCGTGCCGGCCAGCCTCGTCGGCCGGTGGGTTAAGTGGACGAATGCGGCGCCGCGCTCGGCGAGGCTGGGCCCGGTTAAGAAACACTCTCGCAGTCTCAAGTGGAAGTCAGCGACTGTAGACGAAGTCTATTTGTTTTTGGGCATTTTGATTTATATGGGCTTACACCCTGAAACCAAAATATCTAAATACTGGTCTACTTCACAACAGACAGAGGATCCTATCCATTTGTTTACTCGATTTATCTCGAGGGACCGCTTCCAGCTCCTCCTCCGCCGCATCCGGATCTTCGACCCGGCCAAGATCCCTGCTTCCGTGCCGTCGACGGCAGGCCGGCGCCGCGGGCAGCCCCGGGAGAAGCAGATGCCGAAGGTGTACCAGCAAGTCAACGAGTGGTCAGCTCACATCCAAGAGACCGGCGACCGCTTCTACCGGGCCGGCTCCGACCTCACCGTCGACGAGGCCATGGTCCGCTTCACGGGCCGGGCAGTGGAGACCACGACGATCCCGACGAAGCCGATTCCAACCGGCTTCAAGGTCTGGGTTCTGGCGCAAGCCGGGTACTCCCTCCGCTGGCTCTGGCACGTCCACGGTGACGGGCCCTACGGCCTCGTGGCACAAGCCCGGCCCGCAGCCGGCGACGAGGAGGCCCGGCGAACAGCCTTGACGCCGACCCAGCGGGTGGTCACATCACTGCTTTCCTTGCTTCCATTGGCCACTTATCACGTGTTTCTTGATAATCTATTTGCTTCAGTAAAGCTCTTCCGGGCCCTCCGTGACCAGCGGATCGGTGCCACCGGCACGTGCCGGAAGGATAGTGGAATCGACAAGACATTGGTTGCTGAGAAAGAGACTGACGGCAAGGGACTTCCATGGGGTCAACTACACGCGATTTCCACGGCTGACGGGAAAGTATGTTAACCCAAATCACTGTCAGTGGCTATTCCATACCAAACCATTCATTGGAATAACTTCCAGGTCAACCAGTTCACTTGGAAGGATAATTCCCTCGTTCTCTTCCTCACGACGGTCTTCCGAGAGACATCCGACGTTGTACGAAACCGCAAACGGCCGGCTGGAGATACCGCTGCGAAGAGGGCAGCACGGGAGGTCTTCGGGCCCGAAGTGCGGAAGGATCTCCGGATTCCACTCGCAATCGATGAGTACAATCACCGTATGAACGGCGTAGATACCGGGGACCAAATGCGGTCCTATTACGACTTCAGCCGGCCCGTGAGGCGGGGCAGTTGGCAGGCAATTGCCTGGAACTTTCTCCTCGAAGTCATTATTATTAATACCTTTCGTCTTCAACAATGGGGAGATCCTGAGTGGCCCCGGGTTCAGAACCAGTATGAATGGCGTAGACTGCTTTCTGCCCACCTAATTCAGAGGTTTGGACCATTGGCAGAAGGTCGTCGACGGGGACGTCCAAGGAGGGCAACAGACAAAAGGAACGAGGCAGTACCGTGGCAATTACACGTACGAGGGCACAGAAATGCCAATTCTGCTTGCGTGGGTTGTAGTACGATATCGCAAGTAAAAGCGAGGACTGCGCTGGGCGAAATTAGTGGTAATATCCATACCCAACCGCAGCGGCGGAAGTACACGAGGATGGGCTGCCTCGAGTGCGATGTAGCTCTCTGTAACTCAGAAGATTGCTGGTACCGATTTCATACGCAGAATCTCTAGTAATTGGAAGTATCTATTATCAATTACGTTGGTTGGTTGGAAAAAGGGGCCCGAAGTGGCCCGATTGGCTGCTCCCCCGCATCTCAATGTACTGTCGCCTTGCAGCACTCGATGGGATAGATTGACTGGTCGGTTGTAGATAGCTGCAAGGCGGAGCCAGCTTCTTCGCGCTGGCAAGAGGCTGAGAATCTTTGTTGAGATGGACTACGTGGAGTGCGCAACCACGGTCCGGCCCGCTGGAATGGGCGCTACTCGATCGGCCTCTCAGAGCGGAGCAGCCGTATGGATGCAAAGCAAGAGGCCGCTGGCGAGCTTGATCCATGGAGGCGGGCATACCAGCTCATGAGATGCCCGTGAGCCCCATGCGACAATGGACAATGGACAATGGTGCTGGCAGAATCGTGCCCGAAAGATGCACCACAAAGTCCTGGATCATCATATAAGAGAAATCATCCGATAGGTACAGCAAGGCCACAAGCTAGAGACCCACGACGATGTTCCCAAGGAGATCCGAGCGCAGTCATACGCTCCGAAATAACAAGGTCGCAAGCGCAAGCGACAGAATTTAGGGTTAGATCCGACTAGTTATCCCCATAATAATCCACAACCATATCTCAGACTATGTAAATAGTTTGCACGGGATCTTACTCGATCTCGAAAGCTCCCTATGCCCTCGTCCGTCTCCTCTCTACGTACCTGGGCTGCGGGATCATGCCGTCTAGGCGTATAGCCAGTGGCATCGCTCCGAAGTCAGAAGCGAAACCTAAAAAGAATATCTCGAGCTGGCGTACAGCTTGACAGTGGTGAGGAAAGGGTCTGGATCTCCAGCTTGTTCATGAGGACAATGATGCTCAGTCTTACATTGGACAGGGCGTGCTGAAAGTGTTGGAATAGGCCAGCTGCCCAGAAGCCCGCGCGCGTAGACCGCGCGGGGACCGCATTTCTAGAAGCACGAGCCACGGAGCCCTCGGGCGACCAAGGCTCGGACCGAAGACACTCGCATGGACCAAATGCCTGCCGGCGGTCGCAGCTATCGCTGGCTCAGGGCGCCCTCACTCTATATATATAGCATACTGCTGCAAAGGACACTTTCCCCTTTGGCTCTCCTTCGTTAGGCACAAGTATTATCAATAGAATAGTACTGCTTCACCCTGCCGAAAGGCTACACCGTCTAGACGGTATCATATAGCCTGTAATACCAACAGAAAGGTGGGGCCCGTCGATGGGTACGGGATATTCGGGTTTATCTAGATCAATAGGTTTCCTCAAGTAGCGAAACACTGAATCTTATCTCCTTGCCTGAGTCTACTGGTTCGTTAATTAAGATCGAATAGTTACGGAAGTAACCTCTAGTACTGTTCTTTCGCTAGCCGACAACCAAGATATATTCTTCTAAAAACAATTAGAAATTAGCCCTAATGAAGCCTCAGTATTCGTTCTAAATGTTACGAGCAGGTCAAGGCAACCAACTGTGGCACAAAGCAAAAGCTTCGATAATGATGACTCCGGCATCATTGTCCCTTGTTCTGCATTATATAGCTACGCGCCCACAGTGACAAGTTGCGGCGGGCGTAACACCCTGGACTTGGTCGTGCATGTTGGGTCGTAACAACATTAACTTCCGATAGATAGATATTTACTATATTATTATTAATAGGCTTATAAAGCTACTTAACTATATTAAACAAAACGATTTCGTTTAACGTGCATGATAAGCGAGCGGATCGGACAAGCGAGCGGATCGCTCAACAGCGACCGCCACATCTTTTTCTTTCCAACACATATCCATCCACCACAATGATACAGTCATCAAACAAAGAAGCTGGCATAATTCTAGCAGTTCAAGCTATCGAAAAAACACCAAATTTGAGTATTAAAGATGCAGCTCGGATCTACTCAGTGCCATTTTCAACCTTACGCGCCCGTATCAATGGAAGAACTTCGCGACTTGAAACCGTACCAAACTTACGGAATTTGACGTTGCTCGAAGAGGATACGCTAGTTGAGTATATTATCGACCTAGATTCCCGATTATTTCCTCCTCGGATCAGTGGTGTTGAAGAAATGGCTAATCGACTACTCGCCGACCGCGGCGCGCCCCCAGTTGGGAAGTGCTGGGCTTCGAACTTCGTCAAGCGACAACCACAGCTCCGGACGCGCTTTTTTCGCAAGTATGACTATAAGAGGGCCCAATGTGAAGATCCAGATGCGATAAACGCGTGGTTTCGCCTTGTGGCGAACACAATCGCGAAGTACGGCATCGTGGACTCCGATATCTACAACTTTGATGAGACTGGGTTTATGATGGGCCAGATTGCATCCGGAATGGTTGTCACGAGTGCTGAAAGGCGTTCAAACACGAAAATGACGCAGACTGGCAATCGTGAATGGGTTACAGTCATTCAAGCCATCAGTTCGTCAGGCTACAGCGTTCCGCCGTACATCATCGTCACAGGCCAATATCACCTCTCCACCTGGTACACAGAAACAGGTCTCCCACGCGACTGGGTTATTGCAACGTCTGAAAACGGATGGAAAATAAATGAAAGAGGCCTAGACTGGCTCTAATACTTTGATCGGCATACAAAACCGCGTGCAACTGGTAGATATCGCCTCCTCGTCGTTGATGGGCATGAAAGTCACCACTCTGCGGACTTTGAGATATATTACAAGGAAAACAATATCATCATACTCTACATGCCGGCCCATTCGTCTCATATACTTCAGCCCTTAGACTTTGGGTGTTTTAGGCCACTAAAGACGGCTTATGGTCGACAAATTGAGGATAAGATGCGCCGGGGTAATACCCATATTACGAAGGAGGACTTCTTCCCTGCATTTCGCAACGCTTTCACGCAAGCCCTAACGGTAAAAAACATCCAGGGAGGCTTCAGAGGGGCTGGGCTTGTTCCGTTAAGTGCTGAAAGTGTGCTTTCGAAGCTGGATGTGAAGTTACACACTCCAACGCCCCCAGGGTCTCTTCCAGCAACACCCCCCGCGTGGACTTCTCAGACACCAAACAACCCAACAGAGGCAAATTCTCAGTCAACTTTGATTAAAGATCGAATCTTAAATCATCCAAATAGCTCGCCAACACCAGCTAATAACGCAGTTAACCATATCCTCAAAGGAACACTAGCTATGATGCATCGTAATACTCTTCTAGAGGCTGAGAACAAAACCCTTCGGGAGGAGAATAATCTATTTAGCCGACGGCGGAGATCTAAGAAAACTCGTCTCAGGCAAGGAGGGAGCCTTACTATAGCTGAGGCAGATGACCTTTAATCATAGAGAGAGGCTACAGCTCAGATTGAGGAGGAAACGCGCCGGAGTAGTGGCCGTCGGCCGAGGACGGAAACAGGTCAACGGCGATGTGGCGTCTGCGGGAACACTGGACATAATGCGCGCACATGTCCATTTCAGAGAGAAATGTCTAGAGAAGAGGATTATGGGTAGTTTCAATTAATTAAACTTTGTTGATGTTGATCAAGATTTACATACGTGGAGTGGTTGCTGTCGAGCGATCCGCTCGCTTGTCCGATCCGCTCGCTTATCATGCACGTTATTTACTTCGTCTCGTTAATATTATATATTTACTAGGATACGAAGAGGAGTAAAGGAACAGATGTAGGTTTAGGTAAAGCCTAAACCTAGAGGGGTATATTAAACTACCTTAGTATATTCGCTACGGTAATCATTTCACCTCGAGTGACCTAACTTATACTTAATTAGAGGTATAAATAAGGCTAGTAAGGGTATCTTTATATAAGGGAATCGTATAGTTACTTATTATATAGATATAAGGTTTCTTTCTCTAGCCATTTATTTGTTATACTTATCAATATATACAAAATGACCCCTGCCTGTCTAAGTACTGCTCGATAAAAAGTAAAATAATATCTAAGCTCGCCTAACTACTAGCTTTCGATATACATCTATAAAGTCTATTTTACCTAAGAAAACCTCATCGAATTCTACCCCCTTGTCTTTTTATCGGATTCTACCCCATATCTTTACTGTCTCCACTTTCTTTTCTATGGTGTTTTCAACGGATTCTACTACAGTCCATTGCTGCCAGTATTTTAGGATAACTCTCCAACAGGAGACAACTTCGAGACCGGCACTCGATCAGCAATTGCGGGTGGCACCACAACTATCATCGCATTCGCTACCCAGGAACGCATCCACCAGTCTCTTCACCCAGTCGTAGATGACATCACTCACGTTCCAGGGGAAAGTCATAAGTCAAACCCCCCACTTCCTGGCACCCCCCTGTTTCTGGCACCACAAAAACGATGGGATCACAACCCGACCTCCTCATTACTATTAACTATTGATCCTCAACCACACCCACTACAATACAGCTGCCAGCCTCACTAGGGCATTCAGAGTCGCTGGATTCAGCCGTGATAGCCTCCTTTTCACCCGCTTCGATTTGAGCCCGATGGATATCCCTGATGTTCGCGAACTTCGTGTTGGGATCGATTTGAACAGTCTTCCTCTTCCTCACTGCAGCGTTGGTAACTTGAGCCCTCAGGTGAGCTAGTTGCTGCTGGGCAGCTGCCAGTTGCCAGGCCTGCTCTGTGAAGCCTTTTTTCACCTTCCTGAACAGCAGCCGTTGAGTGCTGGTATCATTGTCGAGTTGGGTGTATAAGTGCAATTGACCGCTGAGCTCTGCCAGCTTCCTGGGTGTCGACCAGACCACTGCAGAGGAGGCAGAATCCCATGGCTCAACAGGGGTAGTTTGTTGACCATTATGGCATCGCTTTCTGCCCTGACTAGTTGGTTTGGGTGTGGTGGGCTTAGCAGGAGGCTCAGGTAGTACCATAGGGTTCATCAGGGGCTTAACCATCGCCACAGGGTGTAGACCAGTCCACTTCCAACCACTTCTGATGTTCGAGACTGATAGACCAGCAAGTCGAGCCTTCTGGTAACAGTCCAGGAAGTTCCTTTTACCTATAATGGTAGAGTCGTTCCATTGAGACAAGTAACCGAGCTCCTTCCGATAGGCTGACTTAACAGGGCTGAAGACAGACTGGTCAAGAGGCTGGAGGACATGAGAGGAGTGTGGTGGTAAGAACAGTAAATGGATATTGTTAATATAGCAATTCCACATGAAGTCTGTCGTTGTATGACTCCCATGCCCATCCACAATCAGCAGTCGAGCCTCCCCTTCAGCCTCAGGCATAGTCTGTGGGATGAACACCTTCTCTAACCATTCAATGGCAGTTAAGTCTGTAGTCCAGCCATTATCTGTTGCTGTGAACTCCCACCCATCGTATGGAACGAGATGTAATGGAAACCACTGCTGTTGGACTGTCTTCCCCTTGAAAATGATAAGAGGACGAAGTGCCCTACCCAAGGCTGAGATACACTCAATGATAGAGACCCATGCCCTCGACCCAGGTTGTTTCTTGCGAACAGACGTCGTCTCAGCCATACCCAGCACTAACCCATTAGCTCCCTGACCCTCGAGGATGCCAGTCTCATCCATATTATATCTGTTGGCTGGTTTGATGTCCTTGATCTCAGGGATAGCGAGGAACTTAAACCAGTTCCTAATGACCTCAGTAGATGCCCCATTAACGCGTCTAGAATCGATAGAACGACTTCTCTGAACCTTAATGATAGGGTTCCTTCTCACAAAGGCATAGATCCAGCCTTTTCCCAGTGGTTTGGTATCCCCAGCAGCAGCCAGAACTCGCTCTGCGAATTCCTTCACCTGTTGGTGCGTTGGTGCGAGGCCCAGCGAAGCCTGAATGCGAACCCATTGTGCCAGCTTACTCTCCTGGTCAGGAGACAGCCTCTGCCAGTCAGCAAAAGCCACTTTCCTAGTCTGACCACCTTGGAGACGTAGTTGGAGGGTTGATCGTGGTATCCCATACTCCAATGAGGCTCTCTTTTGACTCTTGCCGTTTGAGATGTCCTCGAGAGCCTGACGAAGCTGATCTTCGGTATATTGAGGCATTAGATATAGAAGAAGGTATGTGCAAAAGATGAGCCCATTTGGACGCGAATTGAAAATGTTGTGATAAAAGGAGGTTGGGGGTGGGCATTGGGTTGTGGTGGATTTTCGCGTTTTTGTGGGTGCCAGAAACAGGGGGGTGCCAGGAAGTGGGGGGTTTGACTTACTGCGCCTATGGCTTCCACATCATCCTCACGAACCCAACCCCAACTATCCTCCACGATGAGCTTCCATTCTTTGTTAGCGAGGGCATCACCTCTGTGAAGCTCTACATGACCTACAAACCCCTCCAACTGAAAGACGGCGAAATCTTAGACGTCATGATGGCCACCAGGAACCTAGGCATGACGACCATGGTCCACGCCGAAAACAGCGACATGATAACCTGGATCACGGCCCGCCTTGCAGAGCAGAAACTTACGGCGCCATACTACCACGCCATCAGCCGGCCCAATATCGCCGAGGATGAGGCGACGTACCGCATCATCGCCCTCGCCGAGCTCTGTGATATCCCCATCCTCATCGTCCACATGTCGTCCAAGACCTCAATTGCGCACGTCAGAAGTGCGCAGACACGGCTTCTGCCCATTCAAGCAGAGACGTGCCCCCATTACCTCTATCTCACAGCCGACGCCCTGAAGCCGTCTCATCCGGCTACTGATGGCTTCTCCGGCGCGAAGCTCATTTGCAGTCCGCCGCTACGGGAGGACTGCATGGACCTGGATGCCATGTGGGCCGGTATCGCCAACGGGACATTTACGACGTTCAGTTCGGACCACGCGCCGAGTCAATACGATCATCCTGGCGGCAAGAAGGCGGGCCTGGGCAAGGAAGATTGTTCCATGCAGTATGACCAGGTCCCAAATGGGCTTCCCGGTGTTGAGACGCGAATGCCCTTGCTGTTTGAGGGCGGTGTGCTGTTGGGTAGAGTGACGCCGCAAAAGTTTGTCGAGGTCACGGCGACGAACCCCGCAAAGCTCTATGGGTTGGGATATACCAAGGGTGCGATCGCCGCCGGGTATGATGCTGACTTTGTCATTTGGTACACTATACCTGAGCAGGTTGCTGCCAACGGCGGGACGTGCTCTGCAAAGATAAAGCCGTTCGTCTTGGAGAATTCGATGTTACATCATGATATTGACTACTCTCCTTTCGAGGGGATGAAGTTTAACAACTGGCCGCGCTTCACCATCCTGCGAGGCAAGGTGATTTGGGACCGCGATGGCAGCGGTATCGCTAGCGATATGGGATACGGGAACTTCTTGCGGCGCGGTAAGAGCACGCTGAGCAAGCCGAGGAACCAGTGGGTGAATGAGTTCCAACACCTGCCCGCAAAATAGATAGTCTTTGTGTTCCTATTCACCCATACTACATACGAAGTAGCTTCGACCTTCTCCGGCGTTCTGGATTGGAATTCAATTCATGACCTTAGTTCACGTGTTTGGATAGCAAATATTCCGCGGTGTATCTCGAAGCTTGTCACAATTTGAACCGCCTTCCATTGTCCGGTATGGGGGTGATGTCGTCTCCGCATAGCCATAGACATGATGCTGGTTGACGAGGCACTCGCCGTAACTAGTGAGATGACCTGTACTTGGTGCACCAAAACTATGTGAAGGTCACTATGTGTCGAATGATCTTTAGCACCCGGTGTGAGGTTCTTAGGCATTCGCATGTCTGATACATGAAGTCAAAGGGGTGGATGGTTCAAGGATCGTTTGCTCTGTTCCCCCACTTGGGCGGGGCGGAAATGACAAAGGATTGGTGACATATGAAATCACGTATTCCATCTAGCAACGTGGGCTACCGGAATTGTTCCGGGCCCATGATTTCCTGTGGATCAGGACCACGGAGCTGCAGCTGTCCGAATAGGGTCAGAATGCGGTTGGCCCGCCATCTTTGAAAGTGCCAGCTGGCAGGAACCCTGCACCTGAAGTTCTTCTGCAGTTCATCAATGCTCCAAGTTGGCTTGGAACAAGCCTTTTGATATTTTAGCCGACATGGAGGATTTCGAAAGTCTGATGCTGTCAGAGCTATCGTCGCAGCATTAAGGTCAATACTAGCAGCCTGATGATAGGAAACACTCCGCGAACAGGCGAGCTGCAAAGCGGCATCCGAGGCTATGGGATGACAGATTTCGTTTCGTGTTGTGGGCAGTTAAACAGCCCACCTAGGAAGCAAACAATTGTGGAAGGAGGTCAGGTTTCTGCACGCTTTAGTCCGCATGCGTCTCGCATATCGATATCGAACAATGCACTTGGTTCCAACAGAACCAACAACATCGAAGCCTGCCAAGCTGCGGGGGTTTGCCTCTTATCCGCCACTTTACAAAACCCCGCGACTTTTCCACTTGCTTTGGCAGTCGTCTCTGGATGCTGTTTGTTCTTCAACTCCGCAGCCAACTCACTAATCTTAGCCACAGAGACTTGGCAAACATCAGTTGCCAGTAATCATGGCGGACTCAACTCCCAAAGCAACCGCAAGCCCGCCGACAGGCTCTCCCAAGTCAGCAAAATCCCCGAAGTCGCCAAAGTCACCACAGTCGGCCGCCTCACCCGCCATGCCAGCGTCCGTAACTAGCCCATCAGTAGCAATGCCGACGGCAGCGACTCCGCTAGCAGCAACGCCAGCATCGGTGGGTGGCGCAGGAGCGACGCCAACCCCCCAGTCTCCTCCCGAAGATGCCGAGACCCCGGCCACAATTGAGATTGACGACGGAACAACTGTGCGTTCATTGAATTTCATAGATTGTGTCTCTCAAGTCAAGCTTAAGCTAAGTCATTCCTTAGGAAGATGCGTCGACCATCGATGACAGAATGTACTCTCGCCCCTAACTCCCGACTCTCCGTCACAGCAATTGCCGATGGCAAGAAAAGAGTGCATGAACTTGTAGCGTGTACTGATATCGATTCAATAGCTCCTCATACACTGCGTCATTGTCATCTTCCATCGTTGATTATCCTACCGAGTACGGTCGGCGTTATCATGCCTTTCGATCTGGTGGTAAGTGCAGAACCCAGACTCCAGCATCACCTCCATGGATCTTATAGAGCTCATCAAGAGCACTGCTAGGGTTTCGGTTTGTACTAATTGATAACAAATACAACAGCCTACGTGTTCCCCAATGATGAGGTGCGTATTGCGGGTCATAGAGCCATCAGTTCGTGACGAGACACTAACACGAAATGTCACTTGTAGACTGAAATGGAACGACTCGACGTGGTTCACACTTTACTAGTCAAGACTATTGGAAATCGACTCTTTCTTGCGCCTATTAATGAGCACAAGACTCACCGAATTCTCGATGTTGGCACTGGCACTGGAATCTGTGAGTAATCGCGCTTTCAATCGCGTTGCAAATATGGCCAGAGGCTTATACTTCTCTTCTTCTTTACAGGGGCCATCGAAATGGGTGATCTGTTCCCAAACGCAGAGGTAATTGCAATACAGTAGGCGAGCGTATATTGGTTTGACCTCTGACAAAGACACAGATCCTTGGAAACGATCTGAGTGCTATTCAGCCACCCTGGTATGTTCACTCATCAAGGCCACTCAGTTTTGACCAACAACCAAACTTACACTTCCAGGGTCCCACCTAATGTCAAGTTTGAAATCGACGACGTTGAAAGCGAATGGATTGGGGAGGATAAGTACGATTTTATATTCAGTCGTTATATGGCTGGCGCCTTAGCTGATTGGCCGACATACGTGAGACGAGTCTACGAGTAAGTCAAGATTCTGAAGGTTTTAATGCTGTGTCATATCAATAAGTTTCTTAGGAACCTGAATCCTGGGGGCTGGGCCGAATTCCAAGACTGGGATTACATGCTCTATTCGGATGACGGCACAACTGAAGGCACCGAGCTCCTCCGCTGGATGGGCTACTTCATGGAAGCTTGCGAGGTCTTGGGCCGTGATGGACAGGTCGGGCCGAAGTTGGAGACGCTGGTGAGGGAGAACACCGGACTGATCAATATCGTCCACAAGCCTTTTAAGATCCCTGCTGGACCTTGGGCCAAAGACCCTCACTTGAAGGATCTTGGCATGTGTAACCTCATTCAAATGTTGGATGGCCTGGAGGCTTTCACCCTACGACTTCTCTGTGGCGTCCTCGGCTGGAGCAAGGAAGAGGTTATCGTGTTGCTGTCGGGGGTACGCAACGAGCTGAAAACCGGAAAAGCTCATGCTTGGCTGCACTAGTAAGTGTTTTGGTACCTTTTGGGCGAGATTGGGTTGCTTGCGTACATACTGACTACTTCTGTGCAGCAATGTTGTATATGGTCAAAACCCAGAAACAGAGGAGGAATAATTAAAGCTCAAGAGGATTGAAAAACACATATGAAGCCATTGGTGGCTCCATTGGCGTAGATTGGTAGGCCGGAGTTGAGTTTTTATCCTGGCACATTGGTTGGTGTTGGAATGAAAGCAAAGTAAAATTACGAGGAACCTTAGCATCGCAGTAGCAACTACCAGACTTCCGAGCTGTCGAAGAAATTATCGATAGACTCTTCCCAACTACCTTAAGCTTAATGATGATGAAGACAAAGATGAGCCTTGTGTTACGGCCAGCTAGTCGTAGGGGTAGTTTGCAGAAGTTGAGGCTGCGGAACTGTCAACAGTAATCGTAGTCGTGGAATAGTTTTAAGGAAACTATATCTATCAATCGTAAGGTAAGGTAAGGCTTCGGTGATCAATCGTAGTCTTGTCAAGGTGATAGCTGAAAGCGGATGTTAATACTGATACGAAGTTAATTGCTGAAGAAGCTATGGGAAGTCTGTCCTAGAGTCCGGCTCAAGTCCATCCTATATACAAGTCCTGATTCTGAACATGTCCTTTGTGCTGGACAGTGTCCTTGTTTGGATATGTTGGATAGCTCATATCCTGGTTATCCAAGGATCGCTTGGATAATGATGATGATGATGATGTATTTAACGTCTAGTAACAAAAGGACGTGCCGGGCGCTATGCCGACATGGTCTATACTAATCTAAACTATATTACAGGCTACCGTCTTCACCTAACGTTCCTATTTAATAACTCGGGCAAATTTCGGAAAAGAAATTGGTCTCCTCTATCCATTCGCATAGAAGAGAGGCTCCCTTAGTAGAACCTAACAAGAAATCAATGCTTGCTTTAGCCATACGTTGGCGGAGGTAGCGCGGTATAGCCTTGCGTCCATGCTTGCAGAAGTAGAAATGGACTGGTGTCTTGGGTTCCTACATCCATGCTCGCGTAGGCAAATATGCCTCCGAGGGCCGGTTACTTGTTGCGGCAACGCCGTCTGTGGACGGCGTAGGGCTGCTAGAGACCCATTCGCTTCTGCCGAGTCAGGGACCCCCTGCTGGCGTGCTTTTTGGAACTGAACGGACCCTGGGGATTAGATACTAAACTCCACTGCTCTAGGCACGAGAAGAAAAGTGTACATTATAGACTGCCTGACTTGTCGTACGCTATAATGGCGGCACGGCACATCATATGCCCAAAGGGCGCTCTGGTTGATCGGAGCTTAGTTACATAGATAGCTGGGCACCTGTCCCTGATGATGTAAAACACCACTACTACTACTACTATTGGGTTCCTACAGCTGCAGTTGAGCAACGTATCTTGATGAGCGAATATCTCGTGGTATGCTGCAAAGTCTCCATGATGGGATCTTGCTGTGTATAGCCTTCCTAGTAAGTGCCGAGGGAGGCGGAGTTCGGGCGGCTTGGGATGAAGAATTATCTCGAGGTCGGCATATTGCCGAGGGCATTGGGACAGCCATTTTCTGGCAAAGGCTTGGAAGGTAGCTACTTTAGCTTGCCTTTCTAGGTGCGCTAATGAGGGCTGTGTTTGTGATTTTGGGATTAGTTTGCAGGCTTCCTTGGCTAGAGCATCCGCTTCTTTATTTCCTAGTACTCCCGTATGCTCAGGGCACCACCAAACATAAACCCTGCCGGGGGTTGTCCAGCTCTCTCTTTATCTCCGAGTCCAGGAGGAAGAGAGCCTATTGAAGGCCCTAAATCTAGCCTGGCTACTTCCTATGCTCTGGGAGTATAGTCTAGCCGCGACTACGAGGTTGTCAAGGCAGATATGGACGTTATCTATTATACGAGCCGTAGGAGCCCGGGTAGCTTCTATCAGGCCGTAATACACAGTATATACCTCAGCGTTATATACCTTAGTTTAGGAGCCGAGTGGTTCGGATCCGCGGAAGATCTGCCGTATAGCTTAGTACCCTACCTAGCCTGCTCCGGCGGAGGTACTACTGCCGTCCGATATCTAGGACCCGTTAGTATAGATAATAATGTCCCGCTTGGAGAAAGTTGCCATCCTGCCTGCAAAGGAGAGGGCCTGTTCTTCTTTGGTCTTATTAGGTTCGTAGCCGACCCTGGCGAGGGCTGTCTGCCAGTCCGCTAGTTGCTCCCAAGGGGGGAGTTCTAACGGATCGATGTATTCGGTATTTTTGCTTACGAGGCTTGCCATTCGTCGTAGCCGTGAGTCTGGTCCTGATTTGTCCCTGAGTCTCGTTCGGAGAGGGTGTCGCTCGTCCAGACGATGGATTCTAGTGGACGCTGTGTGGAGCTTCGCGTCCAGTATCACCTCTGCTGGGGGTAGAGCCGCCTCGCGCTGTAGGATCGGTACAGGCGTAGTTCTGTATACGGGGACCATCGCTCTGATGGCTTTGGTTTGCGTCGCGTCCAGTTGGTGTAGCAGACTACTAACCCCGTTTGAGATAGTACGTCTATTCTTTATCCGGCTCTTGCCGGGCCACTATACTTTAAATATATAGTACTGAGTAGGTAATATATAAGAGGTGATCGCTTGACGAAGTAAGTACGCAGGTGCGCCCCAGATAGTGTTCCCTAGTCCCCGTAGTTTATTGACTACTTGGTATGCTTTTGCGGAGAGGTTTTTTACGTGATTTTTGAATGTGAGTTTACGGTCGAAGTGAACGCCGAGCTATACCTAGCTTGAAAAGAGGTTTAACGTGGTTGATAAGCGAGTGGATCAGACAAGCGAGTGGATCAGCCGACCGCGACCACAGCACATTTGCGACCGATACGCAGCACTAAGAAAAGTAATTCAATTGAAACTATTTAAGATCCTCTTCTTCAGACATTTCTTCAGCAAATTGACATGTTCGTGCATTATGACCAGTGTTCCCACAGACGCCACATCGCCGTTGGCCCGTCTCGGTCCTCGGTCGGCGACCACTACTCCGGCGTGTTTCCTCCTCGATCTGAGCTGTTGCTTCTCTCTGCGACTGAAGGTCCTCAGCCTCAGCTATAGTAAGACTTCCTCCTTGTCTGAGACGTGTTTTCTTAGCCCTCCGGCGCCGGCTTAGTAGGTTGTTTTCCTCACGAAGGATTTTGTTCTCAGACCTTAATAACGCAATCTGGTGCATAAATCCACGCGCCCCCTTTGATAGATGCTCAACAGCTTCAATAATTGAAGTTGGTGAGCTATTCTGATGGCGGGAGATCCTCCTTTTGATGAGTTCAGACTGAGAAGATGCTTCTGTTGGGTTGTTTGGCGTCTGAGAAGTCCACGCAGGGGGTGTTGTTGGGAGGGATCCTGGAGGTGTTGGAGTGTGTAACCTGATATCAAGCTTTGAAAGCACACTTTCGGCACTCAAAGGGACAAGCCCAGCCCCTCTGAAACCTCCCTGAATGTTCTTTTCCGTAATAGCTTGGGCAAAAGCCTCGCGAAACGCAGGGAAGAAGTCTTCCTTTGTAATATGCGTATTACCCCGGCGCATCTTATCCTCAATTTGTCGACCATAAGCCGTCTTTAGTGGCCCAAAGCACCCAACGTCTAAGGGCTGAAGCAGATGAGACGAATGGGCCGGCATACAGAGTGTGACGATATTGTTTTCCTTGCAATATATCTCGAAGTCGGCAGCGTGGTGACTTTCATGCCCATCGACGACGAGGAGGCGATAACTGCCAGTTGCACGCAGTTTTGTATGCCGATCAAAGTGCTGGAGCCAATCTAGGCCTCTTTAGTTTGTTGTCCATCCGTTGTCAGACGTTGCAATGACCCAGTCGCGTGGGAGATTGGTTTCCGTGTACCAGGTGGAGAGGTGATATTGGCCTGCAACGATGATATACGGCGGGACGCTGTAGCCCGACGAACTAATGGCCTGAATGACTGTAACCCATTCACGGTCACCAGGCTGCATCATTTTCGTGTTTGAACGCCTTTCGGCGCTCGTGACGACCATCCCAGATGCAATCTGGCCCATCATAAACCCAGTCTCATCAAAGTTATAGATATCAGAGTCCACAATACCATATTTCGCGATTGTGTTCGCCACAAGGCGAAACCACGCGTTTATGGCGTTTGGATCTTCGCATTGGGCCCTCTTGTAGTCGTACTTGCGAAAAAAGCGCGTCTGGAGCTGTGGTTGTCGCTTGACGAAGTTCGAAGCCCAGCGCTTCCCAACTGGGGGCGCGTTGCGGTCGGCGAGCAGTCGATTAGCCATTTCTTCCACACCTCTAATGCGGGGAGGGAATGATCGGGAATCTAGGTCGAGAATATACTCAACTAGCTTCTCTTCTTCAAGCGTAGTCAAATTCCGCGATCTAGGCATAGTGTCGCGTCGTGATAACTTTCCCCTTAGACGATGGCGTAAGGTTGAGAAGGGTACTGAGTAGATCCGGGATGCCGCTCGGATACTAAGATTTGGTGTCGTTTTGATAGCCTGAACCGCTAAGGTTAGCTGGCCTTCATTACTTTGTGATGACATGCTTGGTTGTGGCGTAACGCCTATGAAGGGTGGAAGATATGTTGGTCGCGGTCGGCTGATCCACTCGCTTGTCTGACCCACTCGCTTATCAACCACGTTAATATAGAGTATGAACAGAATGGGAGATACGGGTGAGCCTTGTGGTAGTCCGTATTCGAGACCGAAGACGTCTCCTACCTCCCTATTAAGCCTTATTCTTACTCTCCTTCCGGTAATAAAACTTGAGACCTAGCGTACGAGGTTCTCCGGCTATCCTTGTTTGTAGAGGCGTCGGACTAGTCGTCCTGGGAGTACGGCGTCGAAAGCCCCTTTTATATCGAGCATAAGTATAGAGGTAACTAGGCCTCTTTGCTAGGCGTACTCGATGTCGTGGATGGCCGCTGCGATGAGGTCGCTGCAAGAGCGAAGAGGGAGTGCTCTAAACTGTTGATCGTGTAGAATACGATGTTTAACTGCGATCTAGGTAAGTCGTCTGGCGATGAGTCTCTCTAAGCCTTTTCCGAGGACGGCCAAGAGCGTAATTGGCCTATAGGAGCGCGGGAGTGTCTTGTCTCTTTTTCCCGGTTTTGCTAGGATCACGAGAGTTGCTTCTTTAAAACAAGTAGGATGTTAACCCTCGCGTATATACCCGCTATAAAATAAGAGGACAATATCCTCGATAACTGGCTATGTTATTTTTAAAGTAGCCGTAGTGATTCCGTCGGTCCCAGGAGTCGTGTTTCCTGCGGTAAGAACCGAAGACCGTACCTCGTCCTTCGTAACCTGCGGGAAAGGAAGCGTAGCTTGCCTTTGTAAGACTAGGCTTTCTGTTAGTATGTCCTCGGAGATTGCAGCGTTTCTAAGGAGGACGCGGGTAAATAAGTCGCGCTTCTCTTTTGGTTATAAGACAAGCGTATCTTGGTTATCTACATCTCGGAGTGGCGGGGTCTGAAAGGATCC